CCTGTTCACTTGACCGCAAGAGTTTAAATATGCCACTGCAAATTGAAATACCAATTTTATTGACCCGCAGGCGTAGTAACTGAAAAGCGGAGAATATTAGGAATGATTGAAATGAAATTGAAATTTGATTGGATAGGAATCGAAAAAGGTCGTCGACTTAAATTAAATAAACATTACATGGAAGTTACTTAGACAATTTATTATTTTTTTATTTAAATTTGTTTACCTAGAGTAAAAAATTTATTTTTTGTACTTTAAATTACAGGGACCAACAAGCATAGATATTTTTAGTTCGTGTCTTAAATTGTTTTGTTAAGGCTATAAATATTGTATAAACTTTTACAGAAAACCAAAGACCTTCGGATGCAATTAAATAAACATAAAATGTCAGCGACTTGGCCAAATAATTTTAATAACCAAATTTGGCTGGAGAAGCGTCGGTCTATGGAAAGGACCTTATATGGCGAGTGATGCTTGTGGTCGTTTTAAACAAACCGCAGGTGTTGCATACATTTGCCAGCTTTGCATTAATTATGATGTGTGTCTACGGTGAAAGGGGTGTGGGGAAGGCAGCGGAAGGCGAAAGCGAAAAGGGGGCGGTTAGTGTCCAGGGGGGCGTGGCGGCAAAACTATTTGCCGCACTTGCGACCAAAAGCTTGCAGCTCGTACGTAAAATTGTAGCATACTTATGGGCTAAAGTAATTTTATTGCCATGCACAGGAAGCCGAACAGACGACGTCGTCCTGGAAGAGGTCCCACGGAAAAGGGGGGTAGAATGGGGGAGGGGCAAGGAGGGCACACGGATCCCCGTAGAGCTCCTGGCACATCGTGTGACCCGTAAACTTTACAGTTTCTTTGTTTGGACTTGGCCCAATGTGCCCAAGTTTGTTGCCGCTCTTATTATTTTAGTTGGGTAGTTTTCGCTAGTTTCTCTCGTTTGCCTCTGCACTGACAAAAAAATATGTTTTTAGACTGGACCATACAATTTGTTAATTCCAAAAAAAGGACCAAGCAAACATTGTCCATTATGGTATAAATTTATAATTATTTATGAGGGAACTTTAACAAAAATGTAATATTATATTAAAAAGATCAGTTGTAAATTTTTCTTTTTATATAGTAATGCTTAAAAAAGTTATATCTCTTCTACATAGCTTAAAGATAAGTTATAGTTAAAGAATAAAAAAAGTGTTTTAGGTGTACTTTTTTCAAGTACCGGGAAGAGTGGATGATGTTGAGATCCTTCGTCGTGGGTATGCGTCCGCACATAAAATGTTATTGCGAAAAACTATTAAATTTCTCTAGAGACGAAAATATGATCAGAAATTTAAATCGATTTATTAAAAGCCGTCGCAGTTGTTCGTTGGAGTGATTGCAGTTGGTTCGTTGCTTGGTCGAAAGGGAATGAGGACGAAAAGGAACATGTGTTGCCGTAGAAAAGTTTTGTGCCCGAACTCCGAAAAGGTTTCCAATGAGAGGCGATTCCTGATTGATGGGAAAGTAGTTTGTACAGTGGGTTTAAGTAAAATAACCATTACCATTTAGAAATACTTATGAGTCAAAAATTTTGTGTATTAACCCTTGCAAATTATTTTAACTAATCAACTGAACAGCCCACTGTGCGGAGTTCCTTTTCAGAAGCCATACACATCCGCAATGGCAATCATATTTCGGTCAAAACTGGGGAAAACCAAATTTACTATGTACACTTAATGTCTAGACAAAGCTTCCCAATTACCTTATCCGATTACACGAAGATTTGCCCCACGAAGTGTTGGCCGTTGACTACGGACCCACGAACCGAAAGTGTAAACCCGATCCCAAAACCCAAGCCAAAAAGCATCGCTTTTTGGAAACCCTTGACCCGGCATGCCAGGAACTCTTTGGGAGAAATCTTCATATTACTGTTGTCCCTTTTTTTGGGCCAATGCCCCACCCTCTTTTTCGAAGCGGAAAATGTTGAAATAATTTGGGCAAAAGAAACGTTCTCACACCTTTCGCAAGGGGAAAGGAGTAAAAAGCACTTAAGTGCCTTGGCCAGGACTCGGGTTTTTAATTGAAGTGCTGTCCGCAGTCCTTGTGTCTATGTGTGTGTGTCGTTTTTCAAGCAGGTGTAAAGTTAAATCATAAAACGAAATTAAAATAAACCAAAGCCAAACGTAATGAAGTACGGTAACACTCCACAAAAAAAGGAAGAAAAGGATTAAGCATGGGCTAACTCGACATCCCAAAGGGTTTCCGGTTGCTTCCCCTGGTGCCCATAATTAGCTGCAAGTTGGCTAACAAATTTTTCGAGAAATTTTTCTACAATTTTTTTGCCTACATTTTTTTACGAGAGCAACATTTCGTTATTGAAAAATTCATGAGCCCTTACCTAGAACATTGACACAAGAACTCAAAAGGGCATCACAGGGGTGTTGCCAAATAATTTACTACAAAAAATAATGTACAAAATTATATTCTTAAAATTTGAGTTATGTTATAGTTTATTTTCGTTTATGTATCGAACACTGTAGTATGGCTGAATATTAACTAATTACCCCTTTTTACGACCAACTCTTTATAGAGCATACGCCACTGGGCGACCGTTTTTGTCATAGTACAATATAATTTATTAAAATTCTTATTTGCAACGGAAAGGACAGTAGCATGAAGATAGCAAGAGTTGGCCAGAATGAGATGGAAAAAGAGGACTGTGCTATAAAAAGCGACTCGTTAGTGTTGAATTTTTAATAAAAAGCCTTACATGATACCGAGTCAGAAAGTAAATTACAATATTCCTTCTATAATTTGTTATAATGAGGCACATTTCTCTCTATATCATCCTCCAATCCTGTTTTGTTATTTTATGTGAGTGTATCTGCCTTTTGGTTGCCATTAAACAGATAAAACCCGACTAACCTGTGTTTTTTTTAGCCGCCTTTTTCACATTTGCATATGGAAAACGCAATCAAAACGCCAGAAAGTCAACAAAACCGCTAAGTAAACTCAAACAGATGGTCAGTGGGAAAGAGGGAAACCCGCCTAAAAATCCGAACATTTCATTTCGGTGGCGACGCATTTGTTTGAACTCCAGCCAAATGCACACGCCCCTTACAGAAACAAACGAACATATGTATATACACCCGTACATAAGCGACATCCGCCGTCATTCACTTCCGGCATTCGGTGTTTGTTTTTGCGGTTACGCCTCCGGAATCGACTGCCCAAATCGGGTGGGTCAGCGACTATAAATGCTCGGTCAGCGAATTGCGCATACGACTGTTGGGCCGTTCTGCACATTCGTGGATTATTGAAGGGGGTTAACGAAGTCTTAACCATTGTAAAAAAATCAGTGTTGGCTCTCTCAGTGTTCAGTTTCTCAGTCATATAACTTTAAACAAATATTACAGTATTCTAAACTTAAAAAACCATCAGCTTGGATTTGATTCTGATTAAATAAATATTTTTAAAAACAACAATTTAAACGCTTTCTTATCAAAACTTAGCATGTGTCAAATAACAATAAAGTTAATTTTATAACCTAATTTGTTTACAAGCAATTACAAAATATTTTAGAAAGATTTCCAAGCAAACGTAGAGCTGTAAAGGAAATTACCGCAGACAAAAAAACCTAGAACTTTAAAGAATATAAATAAAATAGAGCAAATCATTTTCATTTTAAATATAAATAAAGATTATGACGCTGTCCCTTTCCATTTCCGAGAAAAACAATTAAAAAAGATTGTTTACAAATGCATGTTCATGATTCAATAGAAAATTATAAAAAGCTAGTCCCCCATTTATAACCAATTCGAGGTTTGGAATTTTTGTTCTTTCCAAGCCAAAGCACAGCAATTTTCTCCCCGAAATCTTTCAAGTTCGAAGAAAATTAGCCCAACCAATGATGCAGAGAGGCAAAACCGAAATGCCAGGAACAGGCAATTAAAGAGCAACCAATATCCCCCAACCCAAAACCCTCCCCCCAAAAACCCCCAACCTTCGGGGCAGGCAGCCAAGCAAACGGAAAATTCATTACAAACAAATTAACAAATAAATCAAATTTCAATACGAAAATTTGTTTGCGAAAACAATTTTGAGACGGGTTGGTAAGTTCTTAGGATAAGTTCGGGGGATATATACAAATCGTGTGCCACGCCCCAACGCGGAAATCTCGAAAAGGAGGCTGGAATGGGGGGAAATGTTGAATCCGTTTGACTGACAAGCGGCAAATCGTCTGAAGCCCAACGCAGCGCACTTGAGAAATCATTTATCTAAATTAATTCCTGTCGTTTACATTTGCCAGAAACAAAGAGAGGGGTGATTTTTCAGAATGGGCGGTGGAGTTTTTGGGGGTATGTTGGTTTTAAATGCCAACGAAAGCAAAAATCAAAGATTAAGACAAACATTTACTACTTTTCGGATTGGGGGATTCTGTGGATGAACTGCCAATTGCCTGGAAGCCAAACAAACTCACGCCTCAAAAACGCTAACCCACTGATAAATGACATGAATGCGCATTTCTGTCGACATCGCGTTCATAACTCATTTAGAAATTCCAGCAAACTGTAACATACGCAGCCCACAGCCGAAAAAATAGAAAAACAATTAAAATTGTTCTCAGACTGAAATGGCAACATTTTCAACCCTTTCGACGGATCTCAGTTGGGTTTACCCCCGCATTTTAAACTCAACGGGCGGTTTCGTCTGAGTAAAATTTTTGATACATCAAAATCGCGAGGGAAACGCGCGGTTTTTGACGTTAAGCTTTTGGAAAGATGAAAAGTGCTATGAAGAGTGAGAGTGACCCTTTATAACTATATATACTACTCAAATGAGAGGGAGAAAGAGAGAGGAAGAGTTACATTCGCTGTTGGGATAATTGGTTCTGTCAAAAGCAGCAATTATAATGCCTAAGCCTCTCTATAAATGATATATCAAATAGAATACTTGATTGCATATTTCATTTGTTTACTGGGCAGAGTATTACTACTTAGATAACAGTAATATATAAACCCTTGACTTAATTCAATGTTTTTATTAGAAAATATTTTGTAGAATTTTTGTATAACCGGTTCTAGGAACATTTTACATTGTACTTACAACATTTGAGTTTGATACATTATTTGGCATTAACAGACTCTGTCAGAAAATAAAACAATTTTTAATTCACTAGAAAACTAATTAATTCCCTTAAAGTTTTCAGGTGGGAGCTCCAAGAGAATATTATTAGCAAATTCAGGAGATTTACGTGCGTATGCCACTACCAACTTATAGGGAGATAAAAACTTTTGTTGTGGATTATCTTCACCTTGCTGCAAATTCATAGATTTCACGATGTCAACGAAATCATCCAGAAAATCTTCATGCAGAGTTGCCGGCATGCGCTCCAAAAATGGACAAATGGCTTTTACATTATCTATAAATTAATATATCAGAATAAGTTGCTGCTCAATAATGTTTTAACTTTTTTACTTACCTTTTAGGGTTCTAACACCTTCGTAAACAAAAACCTCGTTGCGAATCTCCACATTGTGCTGTATGAAACCCACTTTGTTTAGCAACTGACTAAATTCCTCGCCAGGATTTGTGCTATAGTGTAGCGGCGATATAAACTGATCCACATCCTGCATATAAGCCGACCACTTTTCGTTCATTTTGAGAAGCTTGTACACTTCATAAACGGGATTAGAGGCTAAGAAGGCCAAAAGGCAGTCACCGCCTTCGGGTTTCAATAGGTTGTAGATATTTCCGAGGGCTCCCTTAAGATTTTGCACCCAATGAAGGCAGTAAAAGGAGGTGACATGGTCAAATTTTCCACTCAGCTCCTCTGGGAGTTCTTCACAGCCAATGTCCAGTACCTGAAATCTGGTCCGTTCCTCCCACTGGTAATGTTTACTGGCATAGCCCACCATCTGACTGGAGATATCGGTGCCCACCAGTTGTCCGCGAATCGGTAGCAGAGGTCTTACGAAATCCATGAGTACATTTCCGGATCCCGAGCCGACATCCAAGAGGGCGTCCTCTCCATCGGATCGCCATTGTAAGGTAGAGGCAAACTCGTCCAGAATCAATTTGGCATCGTGCCTTTGCACCTGGTTGGCGTGCTGATATAGAGAGGCCTGATTCATCTCGACAACTGATCGGCAATTGGGGCCGATCTCCAGCTTTATATACGGCTCGAGTCGTGATGTCATCAGTAGCAGATTCTAATTTTTTCTCTCGACTGAAACCCTCTCTACAACTTATGACGTAGAGCTAATTACGTACGAGTATTATTTATTTTTAAAGCTTTGTAATTTTATTGGTTCTGCTAAGGGGAAGCGACAAAAAGTGAGCGAGCGACTAACAGCTAGAAATCCCCCTCTTTTGCTTAAAGTACACTAGTCAACAAAAGTTGTAAAGGAAAGAGATACTGATTAGGAATGTTTTTTAACAGTAACAATATATAAAAAAAAGGTTATTGGTTTTTAAATGGCATACAAAACTTAAAAAAAATTTTTGATAAGTCGAAATTTGTATTAACTACTGGCACTAATAATTTAAAGTTTATTTATGTGTTAAACAAAAAAATTGAACAAGCTATTAAGCAATTTAGGAAATATAAAATTTGTATCTAAATCTTAAAATGTATAAAACACAAAAAACAGCAACAAACCTCGTGCTCATTTTATCTTCCGAAATCGGGCATGGAAAGCTCAAGTTCTAGGTCAATGGAGCTTAGCTAATGCTTCCTTCAAAGAATTATTATCACTTGAAGTGCATAACCAGGCATACACATGCAAATCACATTCGAACTTGAGCACACCTCTGGAAGTAAATTCCATACGGAATTAACATAATTTTCATGACCAGTGTACCAGCCTCCAATTGAACGATGGAGATAAGGCAAAACAAATGAATAAGAATGCCCAAAAATGCTCATTATTTTCGGTGAACCCATAAATGCAGAAGTAAAATATTTTTGAAGTGCATTCACCCAAGAAAGAAATTTAGAAACTTAATTTAGTTCAACGACCTACCCTAAGAATGATTAAAATAGTTCCAGAGAAATTACTCTATTTTTGGAAAAACTTACCAATAATCATTTTTGGAACAACAAATAGAGGGGAAATTTATTTGGTTTGAGTGGGTAACAGAGTTCACCCTTCTCTGCAATATGGCGGGGAATATAAATTCATTAAAAACATTCCATTTAGCTGCAAATTACATTTGTGTAATTGCTGCCAGGCCCAAAAAGTGAAGCTCATGATATTTCAAATATTTCACATATGAGCAAAGCGGCCGTTTGATGTCCCTGGGATATGAATATACACTTTCGACTCCACCTCACGTCCACATTCTGCATTCTCTAACACTCGGCACATCACATCCATATAAATTCATTTGCCGAAAGTGACATCAAAAGCCGTCGCCCGGTTTCTGTTTCTGGCTTAATGTGCGTGGGCGTTACGGCTGGTTAATTGCATTTGTCGCAGACTCTTTTTGGCAACAGAGCAAAAGGCAAAAAGGGGTTATTCGGCTTGCAATTACCGAGAGCTGTCGATTGGCTCGAGCTGTCACAGAGCCACGGAAATCAATTAAATCGGACGAACCAAACCGAAACGAACCGAGCAGAGGACTTCAGGATTTTAATTCATTTGGGAGTAGGAGTTTCTTGACTTAGTCTATGTTAATGCATTTATAGAGCGTAAGTCAATTACGGTTGGAGTTAAGGAAGCAAGTAGAAATTTAAGTAAGAAACTTCAGGATCAGTCAGTCAATTTTATGGGAAAATGTTTTACTATGTAACAGAATGACTCATTTTACTTAGTTATATGCTAAATCGTATAATAGTGACCTATTAGTCTTTTAATAGAACTTGTTATCAAAATGGATTGCTTTAGGAAAACCCTTTACTTTCCCATTAAATGTGTTGTTCACGGTTTAAATTAAGAATATTGAATAATATACTGAATAACAGAAATTGCAAATCACATTTCGCAAAATCAGTCGTTACGTGATTTTTAAAGCGAAACTAATCTAAAGTATTTTTGTTTACAAACCTTTTTCTTAGTAGTCCTAAGCCAATTAAATAATCTCCCACTTTTCTTCTTAACCTCAACCATCCCCTTGAGAAAAGACAATGGATGGAATAAAGAACCGAGAAGGAAAAGTAAACAAAATCTTCTGACTGTATGTGATTTGTAATGGATTCACGAACACTTGAAAACGCACCCAACACCCACCGAAAAACCCATAACCCCCTTCTCCAACAATTGGCCACTCCTTCCTGGGAAACCATTCGCACACACTTGAAAACTATTTAAAGTTTATATAACTGAGTAGTAGACTATAGAAGTCGGTTCTGGTTATTCGTAAATGTGGTACGGGGGTTGGCAGCGCAAACAACAACAACTTTTGCATATGTTGTAATATCAAAATAACAAACAAAGCAAGAAAATCATATTGAAGAGGAAGGGTTTAAAACGGGTGGGGAAATGAGTTTTTAATGTCCCAAAGGGGAATACTTTAGAAGCTTTAGATATGCACTCATCTACACAGATAAAAAACAACTAATATATTAAGTTGTTTAAACAAAAATTCACAAATTTTTGTATCACAAAACATATAATAAATTATACCTAATATGTAATTGGAAAACTAAACTTAAATCCGATTTTGCGATATAACTCTAAAAATAATTATTTCCCAGAAATATAACAACGCTGACGTAAGCATTATTTAAGTATTAATATTAATATACATGCAATTGAATACATTTAATTTTTTACTGTGTATTGGCTCTTAGAGAAGTGTGCGCAATGCGGATTTAAAATACAAAGTAAACGGCGATTTGTTGTTATTGATTAGAGCGGACAGACCCAGACAAACATATGAGCTCATCCTTCACTTCATCTTCCCAGTTTCCACCGAAAATCCAAGGGGCGATTTTCCTGTCTCCCAAGACGACGATGCCCGCAAACTTGATGAGTATTTAAAAGTTTTCCATTGTGTGTTTGATGAATATTTAATTAAGCATAAAAGGAGCCGAGCAAGAAAGGGAAAAACTTCGGCAAAGGGTTGCTACTGTTTCACTGTGTTTTTCTTTTGTTTTTCATTTCCTTTCGCCGAAAACATCCTTTCCCATTTTCCCCAGCATCGTGTGGCGAGCTTAAAGAGTGCAAAAGAATAAAACAAAATCAATTAACGCTTCCTTGTTCCGTTTTAACATTTAGCTGGTTGTTATATTTGAATACTCTTTCTATTAGATAGGTATACTTTTTGACTAAAGAGATTGGAAACTAATTTCAAACTAATATTATTTTTGGTTGAAAATCACTGTTTGCGTCAAAACTCCAATTTTGATTTCTTTTTGCAATAAAGTTGCTTTATAAAATAAGCTGGTTATCGAATTAGTAATTTTAGTGGTAAATAAATCAACTTTTGTGATTTCCTGTAAACGTTAATTAAAAAGCTTAACTTCAGTATTTTTTTGTATTTATTAGGTAGGTACTCTTAAAATAGACATAAGTAATTTAAAAATATTTTTAGGGTATTCAGCGCTAGAATATTGCTACTGTTGTACCTACTGGTTGTATATATTTTTTTATTATTTAAGTATTTTACAAGTTGTAAGCAAAAGGCCAGGCTCAAAAGAGCAGCGAAAATAATTAAATAGTAAAGAAGGCAACCCGCCCAAGAAGCCCCGACCACCACCAAAAAAAAAAAAGCCTTCAACTCAACCCTTTGAGCCACTTTCTCCCCACACACACATTTCTTTTTTCGAAACTCAAGGCCCAAAGAAGCCCACAAATAGCCAAAAGCTAGCGAGTGTTGATGGCAGCCAACGAAATCCTTCCATATTATATGTATGTATATATATATGCATATTCCTTCTTATATTAATTTGTTTTTCTTTTTTCCGATTTTTTGCGGGCGTTGGGAAAATTAATTAAAAATTAAATGAATGAACGAACGCTGGGATAATGAGCCCCTAAGCTGATTTTGCGCTTAAAAGTATGCAATGGGAAAAAATTGTCGAGCTGCCCGAGCATGGCATTCAATAACAATTTCCACCCCACCGCCACGCCCAGTTCTCCTGTACAGGTATTCCGGCCCCGCCACTGCCACCGCCCCTCTGTCCGCACAACAACAAAGAAATGAAAAACTTGCATTTTTTTGTCGCATTTTTTGCTGTTTGTGTTTTATTTTCGTTTAATATCGACAAAGCGCCAACGGAAAAGAAATCAGAGGGGCATGGTGAAGCAGTAAAAAGAGCAACAGAGAAAAATTATGAAATTTTCTTTAACGTAACAAAATATTTTTATAAAATAATCAAGTTTTCCTTTTGCGCTGTTTTGTTTGCTGCAAATTATTTTTAGCTTTGTGGAAAAGCGGACGGGAAAGAAGCTGTAGGGCTTTTTATGTGTTTAAGTGTAAATTAAAATCGTCCGCATTGCGCTTTTATATAATGAGAGAATGGTGGAAAGAAGAAACTCAATATTGAAAGACAAAAATAAAAATTAATTAATAATCGCGAAATACTTCAATAGCAAGCTTACCAAAGAAGAAATCGGTGGAAAAGCATAAAATGATATTTTTCGTTTTTTGTGATTCATAATTCACTTTTCCTAGTCGTGTTTAAAGCAGAAACTTCAGTTTCAATTACAAATTAGCTTCTTGTAAAGGCATGACCTTACCCCAGACAAAATGAAAGTCAAATTCGTGAGAAAGTCACCCCTAAACCGCAAAACAATCTTACTCCAATCCTTAACTATATATCTCCCCTCCTTTGGAAATAAATGAAGGAAAGGACAAGAAGAGGGAGCACTATCAAAAGTCAATTACAATGCAATTATTGTTTCCCCCAACCAGTGAGAACCAGAAAACATTTTCAAAAGCTATTGAAAACTTTAATTGAAAATATCAAATTATTTTCGAGTTAGCGTCAGCAGAAAAAAGTCAAAAAACCCGTCTTGACTTCGATGAGGCTTTAGGGAAGACCAGGGATACATATACACACAAAGATATACAAGTGTGTATATAAACCATTAATTACGAAGCCAGATTGTAGTGAACTGGGGAAAGAAAGTTGCGGCAGAGTCAAGAGTCAGGCCAAATTGTAATGAGTTGGCATTTTGTGAGATTCCCTGAGACTTGGGCGAGCCCCACTGAAATATCTCGTTGTAAAGTAGCTGAAATGACATTAAAAAGGCAAAACCAAGCAGAAAGGACGTCCACATCCTTATGGACACTAACCAGCCGGAAGGGAAGCACACATCATGGGGTTAAACCCAAGCTGGAGATAATTCTCCTTCAGCCCAACAGCCCAACAGCCCCTCTGCCCATCGCCTTCATAGTTTACAATCTTATTATCTTTGCTTGGCATCTCAAGGCCCACACTCACACACATTTTCCTAAGGCAATTAAAAATCTTCACACTGTCGTCGATGTCCTTTTCCTGTTTCTTCCCCGATTTTGTCTGTTTTGTTATCCCCTCGGCCCAACTTGATTTTGTTTATTAAACATATTTTGCATAAAATTCACTTTATTTGCAGTTTATTTCGTAAGAAAATTATAAGGTTCTTCGCTCTCTCCCTTTTTTAGTGCGACACGCTTGATAGTTTTTCCTCCTCCGGGGGAAATCGTGTCTCGGAGAAGGGATAGTGTACCTTATTCTTTGATTATGTTTGATCACGTTCTGTTGGGAAGTTTATTTGCTGGCAAGAAAGGTTTGTTTGCCTGGGATTTCAGTAGTTTGAGATGCATTGCTGAGACTGGATAAGATAAGAAAAACTAGTTGCAGGTTTCTGGTAAATGGGTGTACTTGGGAAATTAAAAACTGGGATTTTCTCCCCAATCACATCACCTTGCTTTATCCATAATTACTAATAGTTCTGTAGAATTTATTTATTTATTGCTAAACAATGTTGCAAGATAGGCGTTACTGCACAAGATAAATTTTTATTCCCCTGAAATATATATGGAAAAAATTCCATTCTCGATATCTACCGGATACAAGCAATCTTGCAGGTTTCTATAAGGCTGGCAAATAAAATGAAACCAGTGCCTTTCACACTTTACTCTTAAGCGGTTGTACAACAGCACAATGCTCAGTCTCGTAATTTATTTTCTTTACATTTTAATTGCATGTGAGGTTTATGGATCTCCGCCAGAGCCCAACAATGGTAGTAGTCATATTTGCATGACAGCAATAAAACCACTGATCGATCACATTGCAACGCACCAGGACCAATGGACAAACGATTCCTTCCATTTTAATATAACCCAAGTCAAACTGGAGAAGATAGAAAAGCAGCAGGAAGATCTTACAAACCTTGTACGACAGGACATTGAAGCCAGATGGCAAAAAATGGAATTTTATTTTACCTCACAAGCGGCAACCATACAGGAATTATTAACCAGGGTTCCAGAAAATCGGCAAAAGATACTTCTACATTGAAAGAAGCCACCGCATGAATTGGTTTGCTGCCCAGAAAACCTGTATGCAAATGGGAGGACAACTGGCGGTCATCCAGGACGAGCAGGAACTGGGAGCTTTAAGATCGAGAATCACCAACGACGCAAGTTACTGGCTAGACATCACCGACTTGGTTAACCAGGGCGAGTTCGAGTCCTGGACCACCGGCACGAGGGCTCCTTTCTTAAAGTGGAGGTCGGGTGAACCCAACCATGCCCGAGAAGGAGAACGATGCGTTGATCTCAAGCAAGGCGCAATGGTCGATGATTGGTGCGAGAATGGGTACTATTTTATTTGCCAAGGTGGCGAAGGAAATTGATTAAAAGTCGACATTGTACCGGATTATTGTTCTTTGAAGTCCAAATAATATGAAATTATTTTATATCTCATAATTTAATATGTTACTCTCAATACTTTAATACTTTACTCCCTTTATACCATTAACCTAAAATAAAGTATTTCAAAAAAATGTTTATATGTAATATAATATTAAACTTATATTCGATTTAAGGGGTTATATCCAGTTCCAATTTTGAAAAAATTTAAAACTTTTTTTTGTTTATTTTGGTTGTACATATTCTATTTTAGCCACCCCTCAACATTTCACGCTGGGCTTATCTAACACATTCCCTTCAGCACCCCGTATGCAGTCACACATGAAAATCCCATAAAAATTGACAATAATAAGCCACATATCATCATTTCACTCTTCACACATATGCACAGACGTACGTTCCACTCGATAAGAAGTCAGCAAGGCCTGCAAATCAACCAGAAATCGAAGGCTACTCCGCAGCCACAGCCACCCCTCCGAAACCGAAAACCAAATGCCGAATGAAGAAGAAAATCCCATAAAAAACAGTTCAATGATATAGAAAAATAGATAAAGCTAAATTTGCAAAAATAACAACAAAGGGACTCGCAATGGCTGGGGAAATGGCAAATGGAAAACGCGTGGCAGCGAATCAACTTTAAACTAAGCCGCACAAGGCACTTGAGAATAAAAAAAAAGTCGAAGGGCACTCGGATCTCCGTGGTGTTGTCAAGTGAATAATGGGACAAATCCGCAGAGTAAATATGACACGTTGCAAAATGGCATTTGATGATAAAAAATTTGAATTTCAGGGTTCAACGCCACACTCACAAATACGACTAAAAAATTCGCAAACGAAATATATGTATGTTACATACCATAAATACCTATATGAAACGAAAATACTTGAATTTAAGAATATATACAAAGATTTTTTTAAAACTGAAAATATTCGTAAGAAATGCATTTTTAAATTACAAAAACTTTATATTATATAGTCGAAATCAAAAAGATTTACTTTTTATGAAATTTTTAGGCAATGTAAAACTTTTTTTTGTGACTGCACGCACTCATAAACGCCCCATATCTGGAAGGTTTGATGTCACTGACAGACGCACATCCTTCGGGAAAGGTGTTTTGACAGGACTTCAGGGCAAGTCAGAAGTGCAGACACAACAACAGGAACAACAAAAACCGGGAGCAGTGGCAACAAGGGGTTAATATTTACGCCGCACCCTCACCGTAGCGTATCAATAAAAAGATTGCTCCGCTGGGCATACGAAATGTTTGTTTGATAAGCCAGTACAGAGAAATCACTGCACAGAAGAAAATTTAAAAAATAGTAAAATAATTAAAATATTATATTAATAAAATGGTTACCAATGACCTATTTAAATCTCAAACTATAACCTATGTTGTGTGAAAAAAATAACTTATGTATTTTTATTTTTTTTAAATATTAAAAACGTACACAACTATCGTTTTTTCAGTGTTGTTATTCTGGGGGCTCATTTTTGCCCTCTGAAGTTAATACAAATATTACGCCTTTTTATGCTGAAAGCAGAAAGTGCAAACCAAATGTGGCATAAACATTACTTTTGGAAAAAGGGTTAGCCACACCCCCAACTTTTTGTAGACGCCCCCAGAAGTTATGACTTTGTGTCATTGAATCTTTATGTGTGCATTCGATATGCATTAAAATTCAATAATCATAAAAATAACACACCGAATAAAGAAAAAATCCAGGCCCCGATATGGACTCCCCCAATTAACCCTTGAATGGCAGAAAAAGGAAATTGTTTGGCTCCGTCTCTCTGTGGCAATATGAACGTCACATAAATCTTGGCAACACTACTACTAAGTCGCTATTAAGTAAAATTGACCACATATTTTATCTCATATGCGCACGCAACGAACGCAGACCGGAATGGGGTGGGTCAGGGGTCATTGCGGGTGGTGGGCGGTGGGGGGAGATGCTGGACAGCCAAAACAATGTGCGGGTAAATGAAACCAAAGCTTCAAAAAATCGCCAATTAAATAAACTTGGAGAAAGAAGCAATTAAAGGGGAAATCAGGAGAAGATATGACAATTAATTATGATTTAATGTTTTTTTTTAAATTTATTCATTATTAAATTAAAATAATTCATATAGTCTAAAGGGTAAAAACCTAATATCAAGTCAGAAAAAAAATAAATTGTGAAATAAATAATTGTTAAGAGATATAAGATCTGATTTCGTTATATACTGCACTTTGAATTAAAACTACTATTAATTTTGTGGAATGTTAAAAAGAACAATTGGTATTTTTTAGTGCAAAATAGTCGTTAGTGCACCAGATAAATGTTTATTCCCCTGAGATCTATGAAAGCTTTTTTTAAAGCTGGTAAATAAAATAAAAACCAGTGTTCTTCATACTTTACTCCTAAGCGGTTGTACAATCACACAATGCTCAGTCTTGCAATTTATTTTCTTTGCTCATTAATTGCGTTTGGAGTTTATGGATCTCCACCAGATCCCAAAAATTGTGGCGGATTCGTATGTGTTTTAAATGATCCACCAAATCAATGCGGTCAATTTTGTCTGGCAGCATTAAGGCCACTCATCGATCACATTGCAATGCAGAAGGAATGGAATACCAATGATGCCTTCAAGTTAAATAAAACCCAAGTCAAACTGGAAAATATTGAAAAGCAGCAGGAAACTCTAAACAACCTTGTATCACAGGACATTGAAGCCAGATTGCAAAAAATGGAAAACCAATTGCAGGAATTATTAACCAAGGTTACGACTGCACCTCTGCCTTTAAAGGCAGTTGTTCTACCAGGATTCGAGAAGATCGGCAAAAGATACTTCTACGTTGAAAGGACCCACCAAATGAATTGGTTTGCTGCCCAGAAAACCTGTATTCAAATGGGAGGACAACTGGCGGTCATCCAGGACGAGCAGGAACTAGAAGCTTTAAGATCGAGAATCACCCACGACACAAAATACTGGTTGGGCATCAACGACTTGGTGAACGAGGGCGAATACGTGTCCTGGACCACCGGCAAGAGGGTCCCCTTCTTAAAGTGGAGGCCGGGTGAACCCAACCATGCCCGAAAGGGAGAAAACTGTGTGAATCTCTTTATAGGCGCAATGTACGATAATGGGTGCGACATAAGGTACTATTTTATTTGTCAAGCTGCCGAAGGAAATTGATTAAAAGCATTGACATTGTACCGGGGTATGGTTCTTTAAAGTCGAAATAATTTGAAATTAACTTATATCTCATCATTACATATGTAACTTTCATTAATTGTATTAATTCTAGACTGTCTCTATACCAATATCAAAAATAAAGTATTTTTAAAATGTTTATAATATTATATTATATTGAAGTGCTGTTACCAGTAAATATGCGTTGTATTTTACATTCAGTGGAATCATGCAATGTAGAGAAGGTTTTTTAAGTAAGTGCCCTTGCTAATTGTGTAAAATGACACAACTAAATAAGGAGTGTGACGCGAATAACTATAGACAACAGTAAATCCGATAAGAATAATCGATACTATCGAAAGCGCGTATTCAGTGACGTGTTCCTTTTTTTTAGCGAATAAAAGCCGCATAGCATCGCATCTGTTCGGGTTACTTTAGTTAAAGAAGACAAGTCGCGTAGATTAAAAATTACTGTAGATAAACACTAAGCAGATAGACACGTAAGCGGATCAAAGAAAAACAACCAAAGATGAGGCAACTGGGTAGGTATAATGAAATAAAATAACCAAATTATGTTAGTAATGACTATTTGGAACGCCCCCGCAGCGAGCATATTGTTGCTGGCTTTTGTCGTGGCCAAAACTAATGCCTTCTATTCGCCCACTGATGGCGTCGTGGAGCTGACGCCCTCAAATTTCGACCGAGAGGTACTGAAAGACGACGCCATCTGGATTGTGGAGTTCTATGCCCCGTGGTGCGGCCATTGCCAAAACCTAGTTCCCGAATACAAAAAGCTGGCCAAGGCTCTAAAAGGAGTTGTTAAAGTGGGTTCCGTTAATGCCGATGCGGATAGCACGTTGAGCGGCCAGTTTGGTGTACGTGGCTTTCCCACCATCAAGATTTTCGGAGCCAACAAGAAATCGCCCACAGATTACAACGGCCAAAGGACGGCTAAGGCCATTGCTGAAGCTGCTTTAGCTGAGGTCAAGAAAAAGGTACAGGGTGTCCTGGGTGGCGGAGGATCCTCCTCCGGCGGCTCCTCTAGCTCATCCGGCGATGAGGTCATCGAACTCACAGAGGACAACTTTGACAAACTGGTCCTGAACTCCGACGACATCTGGCTGGTGGAGTTCTTTGCGCCATGGTGTGGACACTGCAAGAATCTGGCTCCCGAATGGGCCAAGGCCGCCAAGGAGCTGAAGGGCAAGGTCAAGCTGGGTGCCCTGGATGCCACCGCCCATCAGAGCAAGGCAGCTGAATACAATGTTCGTGGTTATCCCACAATTAAATTCTTCCCGGCGGGCTCCAAGCGCGCCAGCGATGCCCAGGAGTATGATGGCGGACGCACTGCTTCGGATATTGTAGCCTGGGCCGGCGATAAGCATGTGGCCAATGTGCCAGCACCGGAACTTATTGAAATCACCAACGAGTCCAGCTTTGACAGCGCCTGCGAGGGCAAGCCATTGTGTGTCGTCTCCGTGCTGCCACACATTCTTGACTGCGATGCCAAGTGCCGCAACAAGTTCCTGGATACTCTGCGCACCCTGGGCGAGAAGTTCAAGCAGAAACTCTGGGGCTGGGCATGGGCAGAAGGCGGTCAGCAATTGGCCCTGGAGGAGTCCCTGGAAGTGGGAGGTTTCGGCTACCCTGCTATGGCTGTGGTCAACTTTAAGAAGATGAAATTCTCCGTGCTTAAGGGATCCTTCTCTAAGGACGGCATCAATGAGTTCCTGCGCGACATTTCCTACGGACGTGGACACACGGCACCGGTTCGCGGAGCCAAAAAGCCAACCATTGTGTCCGTGGATCCGTGGGACGGAAAAGATGGCCAGCTGCCCACCGAGGAGGACATCGATCTGAGCGACATCGATCTGGATAAGGATGAGCTGTAAGGCTTTAGGAGATCGGAGACCAAGACTGTGCGGCTCGAGCTCAAATTTCCACTTATTAAACTTACAAACACTTGCATTTTAAATGATATTCATTAGTCAGCCAGCGTATCTAAATATAAATAATTCATAATTATCTATTAGCTTTTTTTTACCATCCTCACATAGATCTAGACAAAACGAAACCAGCGAACATAAGAACTATGTACAATAAAATTAATAAACTGTGCAACAAAACGAGTTAATTGTGGGCGAGTTTTACTCTGATTTCTGAGAAATAATTATGCTACGATGAATCATCTAATTTAAATAAATTGAACGAAATTTCATATAACATGTTGCATGTATTTTTCTTGTTTACCGTTTGCAGAGGTAAAAACTTTTATTTTCTGTAAAAATTCGTATAAAAATTTCCAAAAAAGATTTTTGTATATAAAATTTGATAGGCTTAATTCTAGGTAACGTCTAAAAACGTTTTTGACACAATGTATAGAAAAATTCTGGTCTAAATGCACTGAATGTTGCTTGAATGTATTTGTTGTGGCAGATTGGCGCTTATACTATGATTGGCATGATACATATATTAAGTACTTGGTTCCGATTTAAGTACAACCTGTTTGTTTGTTGGGACGGGGTGAAACAATTTGCAATATCTGGGAAAAATTTAAAGCATCACAACGAGTTTATCTGTTAATACGATGAGATTTTGCATGCAAATTAGGCTGCGAGAATACGGTACAAAAAAAGATTGCTGCATATCTTAAAATTTCGTAAGAAACAAGCAGGCAACGTGACTCAATTGCCTCACTTTGGCTTTGCCCAAAACAGGGCCAGGAACAAAGCGGTGTGTAAGCGGCTAAAACTACCTGCACAAAAAGAAATAAAAAGGCCAAAGATGCTGGAGGGACATGAAAAGAGGTTCGGAGGACAGGCCAAACTTGTTGAGCCTGGGATTAAGAAAAACACAGATAAAGAAACGGCGGAGATGTGTAGGAAACCCAATTTACAATTATGAATGATTAATTCCCTTTCCAGTGAACTCCTCAACTGGTTATTGCATTGGTCCTAAGTGTACCTGACAAGAAATTGTATATTGTTTCATTTCATACGAAAGTTTTAAAAATATTTTCTTTTTTTTTTTTAGGAATTAAGAACATTGTAAGTACACGGATTTATAAAACTATTTTTGTTTTTATGGACAAAAAAAAATTAAAATTAGATGGTTGACATTTGTGCCATTTCCATGACTTCGTTAAATTAAATAATTCAAAAAAGTTTTGGTCAAGGGAACAAGTGGTCTAATTACTTTAAACTCGATGATTATATGAGCTTCAAAATTATAAGAACTATGTTTGATACTTTTCTTGTCAGTTTTGCTTAGGACCTTGAATCTGTAGTCTTACTGATAGATTTACGTTTCTGGCTGGCATAAAAGTCTTTTTAGAGTTACTAAATAAAGTACAGCTAAACCACAATCATACGGGTGTCCAGACCTCGAATCAGGCCAGTTGATGGTGGTGTTTCTGGTCGGGATAGTTTTCTATGGATTGGATGGAACGCGATGTGGCGGCGGTAATCGTTGAGGACACGTCCATAAACCTATATTTCTTTTCATCGCGACATAGCAATGGGTAGCAAATGATGCCGTAGTAGAAGACCAGGCAAAGTACAATAACTGTAAAGATAATGGCGATTATGCCGAATGTCGAGATTCCTGTCCGACTGTCCAGGTACTCCTTGGGCGTCTGTGGGGGCGGCGTTGTGGTCGGCGGCTCCGTGGTCTTGTAACCCCTTCTGTAACTCCGCGCTGCACTTGCACTGAAAACCATGCAACTGGCGCCTGAAACAACGAGATTGGTTGGTTTTCTATATCACATCTCGCGATTTCCCCCTTTTTTCACTCACCTAAAAAGATCACACACAACAGGTACGCGCTGCGAGACATTTTTAATTTACTTCGAATTCACGATTGAGCACGAACTACGCTAGATTGCCTTTCTTTTAGCCACGAGAACGGGACGCAGACGCAGAACAGAGAGTCAAGAATCGAATAACTATAACAAAGCAACAAGACAAAAACCTTTCGCTCTGGCGTAGGTGGTAGGGATGGAACAAGACGGGCTATCGATACTCTTCTCCCTATAAATGATTAATCTCATTTTAAATTCTTATACTATATAAAAATACTACTTTATTAGAAAATCTGAATCATCAAAATAATACATTTTTTATAAAAACTAATTAGTAAGAAAATTAAAACTTCCACTTTCTCTACAAAATCGTTACCATGACTTACTCACGCCACCCTGAGCCATCGCCCATCGCTGGACACCACAGCTATCGATAACTCGACGAAAACTTGGCTGACGAGCGTGTGTGCGCTGCTCTGTTCGTGTACACTTTATTTTCAATTGGTGAAAATTGTTATAAAACTAACGAGGAAATATGTGAAAATAGGAAAATACCTATTCAGACAGTCGAACTGTGCGTGCACAATCGAATTGGCAACGCCCCTACCGTGGAAAGCAGCTGAAAAGCATAAAATAACAAAGGCGTTTGGTTGAACGACGGTCAAAGGCAAATAGACCCTGTAACCGACCGTTCCAATACAGTTGTGTATATTTAGTGTTTTCAACTAAGTAATTTGACGCAAGTAAGAAGTATAAAATAAAAAACGGCCAACGCAAAGCAAAAGTACAGTGAAAATTGGTCGATTGTCGGCGCACGAAGACGAACACGATTAAGAAGAAGCAAACGAAACAAACGAGAAAGAGAATTGAAACGGCGATTTCGCAGTCGTGTGTGTGTCTGTGGAGTGCGCGCGCGTCTGTATGTGTGAGGGTGGAATATAAACAAAAAATTAACAATACGAAAAGTCAAGAACAATTGCTCTATTTGGCGAATTCCAAAAATGTCACATTTGCCATTGGATGCTCGGGCTATTCTGCAGTATCTAAATGATTTGGGCTATAGGAATATATCGGCCGAGCAACTCCGTGAATTTCTGAAAGGTAAGCAATCCGTAGAAGTGTGCGTGCGTGTGTGTGTTGAGTGTGTTTTTGGTTTGTTATTTTTTATGCACACTGTTTTTCAGTTGCGGCTTTTCGGCTGAATTTCAAACGATTCGTCACCATTTTTATTTATTTTTTCCCCTACAACGAACGTGCGTTCAAAGCGCAGGCGAGAAAAAGAGCATCGGCACAGCCAGAAATACGTTGCAATGGAAAAAGAAAAATAAAAACGGGTATTACTCGGAAGATGTGAATAACACTCATGTACATAAATATACATGAAACAATGGTTAAAAACAAGAAGGGCATTCCATAAAAAAAAGACCGGCAACGAAGAAAAACGGTTATCAAAGGCGCATGTACTGTTGGACAAAAAACTTTTAGTGGAAATCCTAGACACATGGCTCTAATGGGCCACTGTACTGTGTTTTTGGTGTTGTGCTTGTTGTCATAGCTGTTGTTGCTGCCCTGGGCCTGGTTTTCTACTTTCGTGTGTGTATTTCGGCCTCCACCGCATTGTCAGCTTCATCCGCGACTTCACATGAATTTTTTCCATAAACATACACATACAACTGCGGGCAAAGCAGTAGGCACCCGTTGTAAAATTTAAGTTCAAAAGCCACGTTTGTAACCTTTAAAAACCAACGATTATATTCTCATATACAATTTAAAAAAAGGAGCAAGAATTTAGAAAATAATAACACTTATCATACTTTTTTTATGCAAACCCGTTCTTTTTACTATCAGTGTTATTATTTTTACTGCCACTGTATGTATGAACTGTGTGTATTGCCGACTGCCTTTTCTTCTCTCCCTCTCGTTTGCGTTTTGTGCGTTTTTTTTTTCGAGTTTTATTTTTCGCCTTGCTTTCTGTGTGCTCGTCCTCTTTTTTTTTCTTTCATGTTGTTGCTTCTTCGGTCGCTTGAGGGTTGCCACTAGGTTCTCTCGCATTTTACTTTGCGCAAACAGTTCGTGTTGTAATGGCGAATATAAAGTGGGGGCAGAAAAAGTGCCAGCGCAGCGTGCCGATGTGCTCGTTTTTCAGGTTATATTAACGCCCGTTGGTATATGTATATTTGTGTTGTGCAGATCATTTATTTACAAGTGTTGTGCGCGCAGGGGACTGGCAAGGTTGCCGGACTAATTGTAAATCTGAGTTTAATATCGGTCATCGGCTATTATGCCTTTGTCAGGCCATTCGCATTGTATTTGGGTTGTTAAAATCAAAACAAAAAAAAATTAAATAAACAAAAAATTGAGATAGAAGGAAAACAAAGAACATTACGATATATCGAAAACAGATAGTATTTGTTATTTAATTAGTTGTTAGATAAGCCAATTGGTGAATCACGTTAATGTCAGCTATTTTCTATCTCGAGATGTTTTAGCTTACACAGCACAAATTCGTTTTAAATATTGCAATCTCTAGTCTTGCACATGTGTTTTTCGAGGCTGTTTTTGCCCTTCCTGGAAGAGATTAGAAATAAAACCTGTTTTAATCGAATGCATTGCAAGAGTACAACAACGCAACTTTATCATCACTAATTCCTGAGCGCGTTGGCAGCACTTTCCAACCTGGCAACCCTCTGTACCAGCACAGCTGCTTCTTCTTCTTCTTCCACCCGCTTGGGTTTCTGTGGTCCCATTTTAGTTTGGAATTAAAATAAATTAACTCACACTCGGTATTCGATGGGCTTTTAGCCAAATACATACCGAAATGCATTCGAGTGCAGTTATTGATTTAATTAGTGTGTATCTGAAAGGAAAATTGCGTAACACACGACGCCTGCAAGGAGCGAAAAGAAGAAGAACCACCAGGAGAAGGATATTAAACAGTGATTTATTTTTATAGTAGATTTTTCCTTGGCAAATAAAGTTGCAAAAGCGGTTGGTGTTGGTTTTTAAACTGTAGTCGAATTTCGAACAACTTGGAAAAATTTTTGTTTACTGTCTTGCGTGTAGTTCTAAATTTGAAGTGGATCAAGTCGACCCCAACAAAATTGGAGGGAAATTATGAAGCACAAAGTTATTAGAATTAATCATTGCTCTTTGTGTACACAAATGCAAAACCAGATATGTAAATGCTTTTTTTAAAACACTTGTTTTTTTAGATTTTGATAAGTTTTAATATGGACTTTTTGTTGTTATGACCAATTAAAATTACTCATTACTCATTGTCAAATAGTTTTAAGATTAATTTAAAATAACATTTCTAAATTTTTACTATGTGCATGTTTCTAATGCAATTCTCAAATATTATTAATCATTGTTGTCCAAGTTCGACTGCAGTTAATTAAGAAGAAATATTGTATTAATAGCGTTTCTCCGCTCTCTTTTCTCTCTAATTCTGGGTCCTTTGGCTACAGCTAATTTGCGCCAGAAGGTATGCAACCGCAGTCGGACAAACAAAGCGCCAGCAGACTCGCAACAACAACTAGCCACACAACAGCAGCAACTTCCGCAACAGCAGCAGCTGGCACTCCTCCGAAAGTAAAGGTCATCAAAAGCAAACGCCCCCTGTGCCACTTTAAGTTCTACCTGGATATCTGCGATCACCAGCTAGCGAAGCGTATTGAATCTGATATCAAGGCTTTGGGTGGACATCTTGAATTTTTTCTGAGCGACAATATCACACACTTTGTCACCGATAAACCAGAAGCCAGCTCCGGTACACCCGGAACACAAGGAACTCCAAGCACTCCCACCAACCACTATCAACAGGATGATGGTTCGGCAAGGAAGCCGAATCAAAGGCAATCAAGAGCGGATGCTATACTAAGTCGTGTGCGAAGGAGCACCGTTGGGGTGGCAAACAGCAGCAATAGCACGCCTACAACATCAATAAAGCGAAGCTATACCATCTGGCAAACGGATTATGCGCAGCGATTTATAAAGCGTATTCAGACCGAGCTTAAACAATACCTCGAGGGTAAAAAGAAGGTGGAACAGGGGCAGCCTCAGCTAGCCCACATCACATTCAGCTAAAAAAGCAGTATGTGAAGATCGAATCCGTAAAGCGTAACTATAGACCTTACTATCATCTCATCAAGCAGCCAGACGACTGGCCAAAGATAGATTTAAGCAGCGAAGACGGCGCCTTTCGACTAATAACCAAGTCGAAGACAAAGGAGAAGGAGCAGAGTATGACCCGCAAGTCTTTGGGTTCACGCACGTCTCAGAAGGAAAAGCCAGGTGAAGACAAGCCCCGGCATCCAGCTCTGCAGCAGCTTAAAAAACAGTCGGCAATTCCGAATAGTCCACGTTCCAATTGTCGTGAACCCAAGGATTCGAGTGAGAAACAAGGAGGAGTGTGCGAGATCTGCAAATTGGAATACGATATCCTAAATATCCATTTGCAGAGCAAAGATCACGAACTGTTTGCCAAGAACCCAGATAATTTCCTGGCTCTTGACACATTAATTCGTAGTTCAGCGGATGTGAATCGGTTCCTAGAGGCGGAACCCGAAGAGAGTGAACTGGACATGGATGTGGATGAATCAATAAGTAATGAGGAGCTGCAGAGTCCCCGTCAAAGGCCATCGCCGGCACTGCGCGAGAAGTCTAAAAGAATAACCAAGGGGAAGCATTCGTCGGAAAAGTTTCAAGCAGCAGCAGTTCCCTCACCTCAAACGCCTTCTCCGAGTGGCAAAAAGGTTCTGGGAAACCTACCTGGGAGTCTTTCGGAGCTGCAGCGCCAGGAGCATCCTACCACTGCGGCGGCAACACCCACAACTAATTCGGGTCGTAGGAAAACACAGAACTCAGGGTTGTCACCGCCAATAAGAGCCATGTTGCCGCCTTCCTCGCTTTACAAAGTTGTGGAAACCAGGGAGGAATGTGCTACACCTCCGAGAGGAAGAGGAAGGCCACCCAACCAGGTGGACTCGCCATCGCTAATCGTCAAGTTCCAAAAAATCCGCCAAACCGAGCTGCAACGACTTAATGGTGAGGCGGAGAATTTTATGTTTCCTAGGACAGCGGTGTCAACCACGCGGAGCAGTAGTGAGTTGCCCACAGATGTGGATAGGCAAACCACATCGGATGTGAGAGGCAGGTACAGCATTTCCTCCGCTAGCTTAGACACCAGCACCAGCGAAGCAGAGACGAAAGAATCTTCAGGATTGCCCACTTCTAGCATACGTAAGCGAGCTCAGGCGGTAGGACGGCGGAGAAAAGTAGGAGGAGGAGCAGCGCCCCAGGAGCAGCTACTCCAACGCCAGTTGTCCACCGGGAGCAGTAGCAGCAATAGCAACCAGCAGCGCTTTCCGAGCGCCCCCATCCAGCCAGAAGAAGAGCCTAAACCGCAGCCACAGCCGCAGCTAAAGATCAAGATAAAGCAGGAGCAAGTGGTGGCCACCAGGAAAAGCAGTCGCACAGCTACGGCTATTGTGACAGCCGCCACCGCAAGTAGTCATCAGCAGCAGCAACTGAGGCAGACAACCAGTCGGAAAATGGCAAATAAACTGGAGGATCGGATGGGGGAATCAGAAAAGCCGAAAATAAAAATTAAGAAGGAAGTAGTTGAAGTGGAGGAACTGTTTGAGGATCTAGAAAATATTTTGGATGACGATTTAGAAGAGGAGGTGGAGAGCAGCTTATCATCTGGCAGCGACGAGGACTACGTATCTGGCAGCCAACGAAAAGTCCCGGCAACCCATCGCAAATCCACGGATACTCGAGAACAGAGAGCAGCTAGGCGGCTTTCGAGATTAACCATAAACCGAAGTGCCGGAGAGATGGAGTTGACCGAAACCAAATCGTCGCCCACGAGAAGAAGTCGCGGCAAAAGCCAGAAGCTTTCGAGTCCTACGAAAAACAAGGGTAAACAGCCGAAGGTGGTGCCACCAGCGATAGACTTGTTCTTTGATTGTAGCAAAAGTGAAAGGCTACAAGAAATGCAGTACACCTTTGAATCGCTGCCAAGCGGAGAGCTATGGAATCGGGTGTTTCTGCGACAGGACGCGGGTGAAGAGAACTATTACACGTATTACGGTAGCACTAACTATAGGAAACTGCCCTATGAAATGGGTCCCATACCCATGTCTAAAACATTGCCAGCACACAGTTGTGCTTTGTGCCGCGAAGCAAACGAAGGAAAGCAGGAGAAGGAAGTGCAGCTGAAACAGGAGGACCAGAAGCCTGTTCCGAAGAAGGAAGAGGAAGCCCAGTCCTCCTCTTGTGCTACTTTCAAGAACAAGAAGCTGCATCTCCTCCAGCGATATCAGCAGGAGCAGGAGCAACTGCAGCAACTAGAGGGGAGTTCTTTAGCAACTGCCGTAGCCAAATGTGATAGCAAGGCCAGCACGCCAGAGCTTCTGGAGAGGGAGTTTGCCTCAGGTTCTCTGGGCGATCGAGTGCAGCTGATCGAGAGGGTGAGAAGCACCTCTAGTTCCAGTTGCAGCAACAGTCAGCGTAGTGGGATTACCTGCCGGAATAAGCAGCTGGCGCGAATTGCCGAGCTGCCGCCAAGGAAGTCTCCCAGAGAACACGCTTCTACACTGGCTTTGGTTAGTTGCATTATTCGACAGCGTCAGGACTCGCAAAGTAAAACCAACTCTGAAGCGGAAGAGCCACCCCCTCCGGTGGTTGCTCCTAAGCTGAAAACTCCTGTGAAGCAGGAACCAATTGCACCTTCATCGCCTCGAACAACTCGTTCCCAAGCTGCCACTCCTGTCGAAGAAATTCGATTTGCCACCGAGATTAGTGAGACGGTTAAGAGAATGAGGCGTGGACAGAACAAATACGATCATTCCCCGCCAGCACCAGCGCCGAATCCCACGCCGGGAACTTCTTCGCCAGCCAGAAGTCGTCGGCTGACACCTGCAGCACAAAATCTGACTCACAGTTACTCGCGTCGGTTGGAATTCTCGACCAGTCGAAGAGAAGCGTCAGCGAGTGTGCTTTTGGGCAAGCGAAACAGAAGAGGCAACCCGCTGTTAGCCACTGCAGGGAGGGTCAATCCCCAACAAGCCACCGGATTAGGTGCCCTTCGAGGAGTTCGCAAATTGACCAGCAAGAAGGGTCTGCTCGAATACGAAATGGAACCATATGCCCTCAAAGCTTTGGACCAAGCCACCCAGTATTGTAATCCAGGTTTCGTTGCTTGGCAGTTGGATAAATATCTAGAGCTAGCTGGCAAGGAGTATGATCTGGATGTAGATGAACTGCCAGTGGAGAAGGAGACTGAAGGAAGAGAAGAAAGGCTTGCCAATACTCCCCAAACTCCACCACCCACAGATTGCTTCACCAGCGAATTCGACCTCTGCGATCTCATTTTGGGCGACGCTGGGAGTGGCGATGATGAAGAGGACTTAGCCAGAGGAAACTTACCAGGCTCCAGTAGACGGAACAATCTCAATCTTTATGCCAGCTGTTATAGGAAGAAGAAGAGCCTTAAATCTAATCGAACGGGTTGGCCAAAAGCTCAAAGAAGGCGCAACGCAGGAGGATTGGTTAGCCAACGATCTATGCCAGATGAGCGAATTAATTTCCAGAAAATTGGTATCGCCGAGCTTCATCCTATTAAGCAAGAACCTATGGAAACAGAGGAGGAGCAGACCACGACCACCACAACCACTACGACATCTGCGACAAGGGAAAAACTTTTGAGCAAAGAAGATGAGGATGATGAAGGTGGCGGCAATCCAGGTGGTAGAGATGGCGAAGGATCGCCTGCCGATGATAAACAGAATTCCCAAGAAGATACAGTCATGACTCCGCCAGCCACCGATGTGGACGAACAGGCTGAACCGGAGGCGGATGAAATGGAGAGTCTGCCCGAGGAGGATGAGACTGTGGCGGATTCTGTTGATCAGCAGCAGGATGATGAAGCCGAGATTGAAGCCACCGATGCGGATGTCGAAGAGGAGGAGGAGGAGGATGAGGATGTCTTTGAAGATGCGTACGAAGAGCAGGAGATCGGCAAGAAGAGCGCGGATCCGCCGGAGAAACGAGCACGATTACCCTCCATATCCGTAACCACGCCGCCAGACGAGCACTCGACGACGCCTGGCAAGAAGCTCCTGCTCACCCTGCATAATGGTCAGCGGCTGCAGGCAACCTCAACGCCAAGTACTGGGCCAGTCCAACAACAGCAGCGGAGAACTCCTCAGCTGAACGGAAGCCTGGGCAGCTGCATTTCGCCGAGTGAGAAACTGGGAGATAATTCGGACATCTTCACCGTCTCCTCCGATGGCCTGGACACTGATCTGGATCTGAGCAACACCCAGGCGGGCGATTCGCACGAGCATTGCCCACACCAGACGACGCCCAAGCGAAAGTTCGACATCTCAAAGTATGCGCCACCGAATAATGGAAAGGCAGCTAGCAGTTGTGCCGCTGAAGCCGCCACAGCTGCCGTCAAGTCCCTGGCCATCTCGCAGTTCCTCAAGAAGGAGGTGCGTGTCACCTGCCGGCGGCTGAGGGCGCCATTCCGGCGCTTTCGATATCGCCGCTGAGCAACCTGTGTCATCATTATCATCATCCAGATCAAGAAACGCATCATTCAGAACCAATCACGTTTAGCTTTTAGTGTGTACAGCGACGTTGAGTAATAAGTTTCAGTTTTTAGGTATTTTTAGGCCACAAATCCCTCCAAAACCACAAAAACAAATCGATTTAAATTCCATACTCGTTTCAAATTCATTTCTGGTTAATTTCGGTGATATTGTAACTGATTGAAGAACTATTAAAGTGCTCGTTTCAATCGATCTGAGTACTTTAATACGTTTCGAAAAGTTCCATGTGATGAATAGGAATTTCGCCAACTTTAATTCAGAAAGGAATGAAAAAACCCAACACCAACCATCAACTAAATGTAGCATAATTAAAACACACACAAACCACACACGAAATTACGTACATAAGCCTTAGTTTAATCTTAGTTTAGCACAAATTCCCTGCCCCCCCGGAAAATTAAAACTGATCAACACTTTCGGACTATTCCAAAATCTCTCATTTTCAAACTAGTTTTAAGTAGTAAAGTTTCCATTTATCGTTTTTGTTTTTTACTGTGGAAATCACCTATTAAACTGTTTTCATTTTCTTAGCCATGTATTATTATCAAGTCAACGCTCAAGCAAATAAAAAAGGAAGAAAGTAAACTATGTAACAGATAAATTAAATTTAAACAAAAACCAAAAGCAATTGTAAAAATATTAAAACAAAAGAGTAAATTAAATATTCAATTAAACACCTATCGATTTTGATTTATTAAACGTATAGTGAAAGGGATGGAATTTTAGTGGATAAAAACAAGCATACAGGTTTTTATTTTAATTTTTTCCTATTTTCTTAAATTGTACGAGTATTTTTAAAATTGGCACATATTAATAATAATATTTGAGAAATGTTTTGGGAGCCTTTTGGCTTTTATAGTTGATTGCAGTAACTAATGTAGATTATGCAATCCCGTTTCGCCATCATTCATGCCGCACCTATAACATTCCCATGATCCACCATCCTTATTCCCCCTGCTATTGGTCACTTTTTTGATTCGATCCCATCCCAATTTAGACTTGCGCAAACTCATCAAGTATGAGGAACGTCTGGCGGAGAACGCAAAGGAGGACAATTTCAGCAGCCTGCATAAACGGGGCACCGTCAGCTCACGTGCCAAACTAGGTGTTGATAAGGACAAGGAGAATGCGGCGCCACCATGTCCATGCTCATCTGACAAGGAGAAGGAGTCGAAGACTGAGCGGGATGACGACCAGCAGCAGCGCTCCCGTGGCGGCGCTGGCTTTGGGGACTTGGCTCGACTTTTCAAAGAGAAACTCCTGATGGAGGCATCCGTACCTCCTCCGGCGACCATGGATTTGTTCACCGAACAGTCTCAAGCAAACGGAAAGCGTCGCAGTCGCAGCAAGACTCGTCATGGTAAAGAGCCCCCGTGTCCAGTGGTGAATCGGAAGCACATGAAGTCCGTCCAAGGACGCAACGCCGCCGGCGCAGCAAGTCGCATCCGCGTAGTGCTAGTAGGGGATCCACTTGTGGTAAGTAATGGTAATACAAATTACTCACTATTTTAATAACACTTTTCTTCTGCGATTTTAGCTCGCCGTCGTGGAAAATCCAGGAACTGCGATCCGGTGGCACTGTTTCAGTACTACCAGAAGGAGTGGGCACATTTCCGCAGCCAGATCCCCGGCGAGAATGCCCATATAAATGCCCGTCACAAGATAATGGATCCGAGGAAGTGAAGAACATATTTTCAATGCAGCTATTATTTTAACAATCCCATACTTCGATCGATTCCGCTGTTTAACTACAGTCATCTTTTATCACTTCTATTTATATTTTAATTCATTTTTGATCCGATTATTACCTTTAAAAAACTTCAGAAGTCGAATAAAGCGAAAATTAGTCGTTTAAATTCTATATTATTTTGGAAGTTATTTTCAAAGGTTTACGTTTTCGCATAATTGTCTAAAAAAATGTATTGACATTTCAAAAATCTTCTTCCTTTTAGCCTATCAATGAAATTACCCTCAAATTTTAGGCCCGTTGTCAAAATTTAATTTGAAATTAAAAAGTTTCATCTATTGTTTGAAACTTGCACAACCAGTTTTTTTCAAGTGGTCAGAAAGACTTTAAAAAATGTTAGAGCGAAGTCGAAGATCCCAACTAAGCCTGGATTCTCTTTATCCGGCTCCTGTGAGCTCCACCACGATGCGGAGAACCCGTCGAGTGTGCCTTAATATCGAAGCGAATGGGTCAGGACCTCTAAGACCTCGGAGGAGGCGAAGAAGGGAACTACTTAATCCTTACTTCGTGACATATCCGCCAATATATGATCCAATGCAGTTGGGGCATCCATGGAACTTCAATGTCTGTTCCAATTCTTTACCGTGTACTGGGTATGAAACTTTGGCTGATCTCCCTTACCGCTTAAATGCAGGAGATCAGTACGAATGTGATTCGCTTGGGGAAATATCATTGCCAGAAGAATCCAATAATTCGAATTGCCAGCAAGCTGTGCACGATCTTAAGGATATTTTAAAGGGGTTGGATGGTTATTTGCAGTCAGAGAAGGTCAATCTAACAGCGAAAGAACAAGTGGAACCCGTTTCTATTCAAAATCAAGATGATCAGAATTCAGACTCCAAAAATTGCAAGCTCTCAGTACTAACGGATATCATGTGTGTAACCATTGATAGGTTGAACAACTATATAGCAAATAATTCAAAACAACAACAGTTGCTGTCTACTTTGAGCCAAGGGAACCTGTTGAGAGGAAGTGTACCACCGGTACAGGTGGTGCAGTTACCTGTGCAACCGTTGATCCTACAGCCCATGGCTTCTTATCCTTCATCTAATCATTATCCACCACCTGAGCCAAGCGTTCAGAAGAAATCCCTTCCGGAGCGATTACCCTGGTTAAAGGAACGGAAAAGGAAACGACCGCCAAAACCCCCTGCCTACATTCACCTGCAGAACCAGGAAAGCAGTACAGAGGATTTGAACGTATTGCCAAAAACTCTAGAAGCTTCGAATTCGACCAATGAAAGTAATAAGTTTTCGGTTCCTCAGCAATCTCCCAGCCAGTCCACAAGAGATTCTGGCACAACCATGTGGTGTTCAATGAAATGTAACAGTGTTCGAAGAAATCAGGAAAACTTGCATCTTATCACAGAAACCTTTTCATGAAGATCCAGAGGCTGCATACTCTTTAGGTCCCAAGGATGAATTGTTTCCCCCCTGTCTTAAGGCACCTCCACCTAGCATAAAGTCCGAGGACGAAATAGAAGGTCAAGAGCAGTATTTTCACACGCCCCCCGAATCCATCTTCCATCTTGGCTCCCCTCAAACATGTAGTTACACTTCCAGTTGCGATTTCTTTCATGAGGGGGGAAACCTAAGATACTCCTATATAGAAGAGGAGGAGGAGGAGGAGCAGGTGGATAAAGATGACTGGTATCGCAGTACCAGCAATAAATTAGCCGAGTTGGAAGTGGAACAGGACTATTTCAATCGAATGGAAAAACAAACGCGATTTACCACCAAAGATGAAACACTTCAAACTGATATTGAAACAAGCAGTGAAAATAGCTTTCTAACTATTATAGCCACAACCGATAAGGCAATCAGCACCACTGGTTTAAACCGCCGAGAACCTATAAAAATTGAGCGGATCTGCAAGAAATCTTCTTTAAAACAGCGACCGAGGCATAAAAATGGGAATCAAAAGGAAGACTTGCCAGGAACACCTAAAGTCACTTTTAAAAAACTACAAAGCACCGAAGGAGTCCAGGTTCGACCAGAAACAAAATCCTTGGGCACGGATCCTATAAAAAAAGAATCCATACTCAATATAAGATTCAACCCTTCCACTGAAACTCTTACTGATCAAAAGGTGAAGCTTAGAAGCAGGAGCAATCCAAAACGGTCTGTTGGTTTTAAAGAATCCCCATCTTCTCTCAAATCGAAGTCAACTCGTACTTCTTTGCGAAGCGGAAAAACGAGGACCTAAGAAATTCTGCATTAAAGCACTCTTATGCTTATTAATCAAATTTAACAGATTCAAAATTGTTTTCAACACCTTTCGGCCTTTTTTCGAACAGATCTAAAGGGTGTCTAGGTGGTAATGACAACCAGTTGGTAAAATGATCTGTGACGAGCCGGCGCCGGAGCCGGAGAAAATCATCTGTCGCTGCAAGAACTGTGTTCTCCGGCCCGCGGATGTCCTTCCCTGGCCGGGGGCCCTTGGAGCAGTGCCCGATGCTGGGAAAGATGGCAATACCAGTCGTCGAGTGTCCAGCCGTACCATTCAATCGATGGACAGCGTGTACACCCTGCGAGATGGCAATAATAACCAAAACAATCCATATAAAGATCAACCCGGTACACGTCCAGGAACCGCAACAAATTCACCAACCCAATATGAGGTTCCGATTCATGGCGCCATTACTCCAATACTCCATGAGAGCCATAGTCCAAATTATCACCAAACAAACTCGCGGGTAACAACACAGCCTCCTCCAGCTCAACCCACCATTCTGCTGATTGTGGTCAAGTGAGTAATGGGTATCCCAATTGGCTGTTCTAATGGGAAAACCTCATTTTCAGTAAGAACGATCCACCACCGATGCCGGGTAGAGGGTATCCGGATCCGAACCCAGGGCCAGGACCACGATATCAAGGCCAAGGGTTTGGATATCCTGGTCAAGGACCTGGGGGATATTCGGGACCGGGGCCCAGAGGCTACCCTGCTCAAAGCGGTGGACCACCAGGGTAGGTCAAACTTTGTTCTTTTAAACATTTTACTTTATTATCCCTTGAATATACTTCTAATATTATTTTTAGCTATTATTATCCGCCACCTAGACCCAGGAGAAGGCCAGAGAATAACTATGGACAAGACCGTTTTCGCTAGTAAGCCATAGAACTTAAAATTAAGAGGGCATGATTAATAACAATGCTTAACTAACTTTTCTCTTCCACAGTGATAGTCGACGAAATAGGTATGTATCAGACTTTTAACAAAAATAATTCGCAATTATTCACAGTTGTGATTACTTGCAGCGTGGGATTTCCAAATAATCGGACTGGGTACAGTACCGTGTTTAAGATTCTTAAATTTTAAGTTACTACATTTTTTTTTTATAGATACCAAGATGAATCGAGGGTGCACTCAAGAAGGTAAGTTTCTTCTGTGTTTCCCAAAAATATTTGTTCTGAACGTTCTATATTCTTCTAGGAACTCCAATAATGTCTACGGCGACCGGATACGTTATGGTCGAAACAACGAAGTCCAACGAAATTGTCGGTGTCCCACCACAGAAAAATCGAATCCGGAAACTCCTACAGATCCTGAATATCTTAATGAAGATCCTCTTAAAACAGTCGAGAAGAGAAAGTCCAAGCATCGCCTTGTTGGAAGCGGTAACGGAAATTCTTACAGGTCAGCTTTTGCGCTTTACCATGTTGATTCGACTAGAAAATAAACAATCTGTGATCCCCCAGGACGGAACAAGAACAAAATGAAAAAGGAAGAGGAGTAGCTGGGGGAGCAGCACCTTACGAGATAGAAAACTTCCCGGAAACTCCGCAGGAAGTGATTGTGACCGATGCCAAAAACAAAACATACAAATGCATTCAGGTAGGAAATAGTCGTTCCAGCAGATTTTAAGTATAGAGTATTTACATCCAAAACAGGTGCCCATTTGTATTTCAAATGGAAAGCCGGACACCTGCCGGTGTTGCAAATGTGCTCCTGAAAATTCTGACGAAGAGTTGATCGATGAGGACGCCGAGTGCCTTTGTAACCAGGACGACAAATGCACCTGTGTGCCTGACAACACTTTTCCCGATGAGTTAACCTGCGAATGCAATCTTACGGATTTGGAACGAACTCTGCGGGAGCTAATACCAAATGTCGAATGCTTGTGCTTTCTGAAGAGCAAGAAACGTCGCAGACGGCGCAAGAAATGGACACCAAAACGCCACTACGATCGGTTTGCCAGTCCTCCGTTCGTCCTCAATCCGAAACCCCGGTGTCTGGAGTACGGCTGCTGTCCTTACCCCTATCCCTGCTACAATCCTTGCTGCCAAGCACCAGTGGCAAAGAGCTGCTACACTTGTGATTACGGTTGCGGATGTTGTTGTAGATGCTAAAACTAGATTTCCAGCAATGGAAGACAAACCAAAAAAGCCTGAAACCCATACGATCTGAAAGTTATGAAAAAGCTCTTTAATAAAAAATACAACTTAAAGACTGAATACTTTGGACTATCTGAACAGATCCTCAATATTTTTTCTGACAATGTCACATGTTCCAATAAAGTTGAATAATAAAATAAAAGGATTATAATCGGTAGTTTCAAATAGTAAAAGTAATAGAAAACTGATATAGGTGATTCGTGTTTTTTTTATTCATTGTAACTTTTTTTTAACTGTCAGAATTAGTCAGCAATGTAACTGAGCCTTCAAGCAGCCTCTCCTGATCCCAGCTCCTTTGAGATGAATGGCCTTATCAAAAGGCGACTCACCGCCCAGCAAATCCTCCTGCGACGAGCCTTGAGCAAAAGTGTCGGCAGGTGCCAGGATGCCACCGAATTTGTGCGGGATGGCATCGCGGCGCCTCCTTCTCTGGTCAAACCAGCTCAGGAGAGATCCTCGTCGAGGGCAGTGAGAAAACTGCACAGAATCTTGGCATCCAATCCTTTTGGTCTCTTGGGAGAAAGGAAGACGGGAGGAACACTGTCAGGCTGCGATCTTCAAAGGAAGGACTCACGATCCTGGAGGAAACTGAAGCCAAGTGGTGGGTTGGCAAGAGTCAGAATCTTTGCTGAAATAAAATATGTTATATACTTGATTCTTTCCAGAGAACCATCCGAACCTGAGTCGTAACAGTTCTCGGGGAAGCAGTAGATCACGCAATAGTGCTTCTATTTACCCTTCCACCTGGCAGCTAAATGTAAGTAAAGCCAAGGATGAACTTAAAGAGAATTCCCAGGGATCTCTGGAGGAGATCGTCAACTGCGCTATTCTCAATCGAACTCCTTATGATCATAAGCTTAGTACGCCCCTAAAATCTGATAACTCCTGTCAATGCACCATCAAAAAGAAAAGTCGCCGTAGGGGTCGGAAAACTAAAACGCTTATGGTTGCTCAGACCCAGACAATCACTGAAACCGAAAGGAAGGGGAGAAATTTCTCGAAAGAAAAGTATTTTCAGGGAAGAAGCTGCAGCAAAGACAGTGATATTGTATTTCAGAAATTGGATTTCAGGGCTTATAGTGGCGAGGAAGTATGTCACGATCGAAGGACAAGAAGAACCTCCTCAAAATCCAGCGTCAATTCTAGGATATCTTTTAAGCCAGAATGTCCTGGAATTGCGTACAAGGATTATGGCGGTTATAGCCCTTCGGAAACGGATATCGAAGCGGAGTGCTTTCCCGCACAGCGAAGTCAATCTGGTTATTTAGATAAAATAACAAAGATAAGCAAGCCACCATCAGATGGAGGTTCCAAGTGGAGCCTTAAAATACCCAGCAATGTGGAGATCAATCAGTATATGGCCAGAGGAAGTCGAGAAAGGAGTCCCACTTTTTTTCAGGAGAAGAGTCCTGGAATCGGGGAAAAGATGAGTGCAGCAAAAAGAGAAGGCCAACGGTGTCACTGCTCAATGAATCCATCAAAGGTTCAAGATAAAATTCGGAAAAGAAGCAACCAGCCACAAAGGAGCACAGTACCAAGAACAATGCCAAAACATCGTGGTTCAGTCTCAAATGAAAAGAGGAAATGTTGCAATCCCTGTTGTCCGTCAAACTTAAGAGAAAAGTCTAACAGAAAAGAGGGTAAAACACATTCACAAGCCAGTATTTCATCTGCAGTACAATTTCGCCAGCGTATTAGAGGACAAGGGAGTGAAAATAGTTTTAACCAAAAATATGAAAAGAGCAAATGTGGCAATCCCTGTTGTCCATCAAAGTTTAGAGAAAAGTCTAACAGAAAAGAGGGTAAAACACATTCACAAGCCAGTAATTTACCTTCAATAAAATTTCGTCAGCGCATTGATGAAGTGGGGAGTGAAAATAGTTTTAGGCAACAATATGAAAAGAACTCAAATGAAAAGAGCAAATGTGGCAATCCCTGTTGCCCATCAAAGTTTAGAGAGAAGTCTAACAGAATAGAGGGTAAAACACATTCACAATCCAGTATTTCACCTTCAATGCAACTTCGTCAGCGTATTAGAGAAGAAGGGAGTGAAAATAGTTTATGCCAACAGTATGAAAAGAACTCGCCAAATGTTTATCAAGGCAGTCGACATTCGGCTAAAGTTGATTCTTCCAATGAACTAATGGAGAGCAGTTGTATTTGTTCGCGTAATTCAAGAGAAAGGCAGGCGAATAAGACGCAGGATTGTAACAGATCACCAAGTTCATATGAACCACAAATCAGGAGAACAAAACAACAAACCACCAATAGCGTCGTGTGCGATCCAAAATGTACTGAGGCCATTACTCAGACTTCTGATTTACTAATGGCGCCAAGGAGCTATGGAACGAAATGCAACTTTCAGGGAGTTCAGCAATCTTTTCATCAGCAAGCAAATTCAGTTATGCCAAATAAAAACCAATCCAAACAAGAATGCTCTAGGCAAGAAAATTTTGGTAGAACAACATTAAGCTCCCAAGAAGTAGATAAAGCACCACGAAACGCAGTACAATGTAGATGCAAAGAAATAGAACATTCTCAAAAGTCCAATTCGGTCAATTTTAAATCACCTCGAATAACCTCTTTAAAAACTGCAAAGCCAAGCCGTACTCGAAAACAAAGAACCAATCGGTCTTTTAGTCGATGCTGTTGTACTCGGAAAAAATTAGTAAAAAAGTCAACGTTATCAGAAAAACAGAAAACTTCGATTTCAACAGCTAAGGATCAAGCGAGTTGCAAAGATGAAAAGAATATCGGAGGACTGCCTAAGATTGACAAGTGTGATGTGAGGAAAATACTTGCCATTTTGCAACAGACATTGGCTGGACTTGAGAAGCAAATTAATAATGGAGAAGGCAATGAGAGGGGCATTAATAAAAGTAAATGTGTTAGAAACTCAAAGCCAAAACCGAAATGTTGTAAAGTCCTAACCCAATTAAAAGATAGTCATAATGAAAATTGTAATCAAGTGCGTACTCAAAAGCCACCTAACCAACAAGGATGTTCTTTTCCGGAAAGAAATTCTTTTGACCATCCTTTAACTGCTTCTCCAAATCGATACTTTTTCGAGGACAACAGTCCTAATAAACAATACCAATGTAGTAGAACAGGTCCTGCAAATTTCTCAGGATCAACTCATGTGTATGAAAGCCTAACGCGTAGTGTAAGTCCAGTCAACATCGAGGAATCGTGCAGAAATAAAATAATGTTTGGAAGAAGTGAATATGACTACCCAAAAGAAATGAGGAAACCAAAATGCCCACCGTACCAGGAACCCCATAACAAGCCCATTACAAGCGTAAATAATTGCCAAGCTCAAAGCAATTATTCCCAGCGAAATTATAACAACCAAAGTTCACCTCAATACATGACGCAACCTTGTGCAAGTCCTCAGTGTGTTTGGAATACTCCTAAAATGGAGGAATTCCGAAGGAATCCAATCCCGAATTTGGAACTTAACCAGCGATCCAAAGGTGCAGCATGTTCAAAAAGACAAAGTCCGCGTGAAAAATGGCCAAGTCCAGAATACTGTCCATATAAAGGAATGCAAAAATGCGAGGAAGGTCAAATTCATCAAAAAAAGGAAACCTTTCAACCCAAACATAAAACGTTTGAAGATAGTTATTTCCCAAATTATGATCACCAGCTGCCAGGAATTTGCGAGAACCCATTTTGTCCAAAAGCTTCAAAATATTCTAGTTCCTTTGATAATGAAAGCTACCCGGTTTTAAATAGAAACCAATCCATTGAAACAGTAAGTGACTTTTCAAGGAGCGATCCTGAATGTCCTTATAAACAAAATGAAACGAACTCAGGTGCATGCAAAGGCCCTGACTATTGTCCATATCAAAGTTCGTTTAAATCAGATTTTGGACCAAACAATCGAGGGGTAGTCACCTTCCGAGATATGGAAAAGTGTAGATCACATAAAGAAAGCTTTTTGCAAATTCCTACACAATATGGTGACATTACAACTTGTCCAGAAGGCATCCAATATTCAAGATCACGGGATAATCCCGTATTCCCAACTTCGAAAAGAACTCTTGTCGAAGTGCAAAGTGACATAATAGAGTGCGATCCGGAATGTGTTTATCAACCTTTTCAGAAGGGTGGCCACGCTGATGAACATGATAACTATTGCGATAATCCATATTGTCAAGAAAATGTAACGCTTAAAAATTATTCGAGCTTACCTGATGAAAGGGATCTATGTGAGAATCCAAGCTGTCCAGGAAAAGAATCTTTGTACAGAAATTCCATCAACCATCAGAAGGACGAAACACTAAACAAACAGAAACTTTGCAAAGAACGAAAAGAAAAAAATATTCAAGGTAGTAAGAAAATGTATCCAGAAGGATCCGAAAACAATTCAAATTATGCTTGCAGCAATCAAAGGTCTGAAAAGTCTTATTTTACTGAAGACTGCTCTCCAAACTGCCCTGCACGACAAAAGACTGGCTATAATGTAATGAAAAGGCGAGTTACTGTTGTTCGTAGAGATCAGGAATCATATTATAAATGCCAAAATCCGCAGTGCCCTGAAAAAAGAATAAAATCATCTGTAAAACCAAAACAAGTTTACCAAAGCAATCAACATACCAAATTATGTGAAAACCCGAACTGCTCTAACAAAACTACAACAAACAGGGAAGGATATTCTGTTTCTGGAAGAACCTACTCTGAAAGCCAGACTAAATCAAAGAAAAACAAAAAGGTCGAAGATGTTGACTCCTGTGCGAAAAATTCTCCCAATCGAGAATTTTTAACTAATCAAAATAGTTACGAAAAAGACAATTACGAACATGACTACAAAGCTTGTGGGAATCCTGATTTTCGGGGTAAAAAAGGAGTATATCCAAACAAATATCGTGACAACGCCGGTCATGCTTTTGGAGTCGGCTATGAAATAAAACATGGTGGGGAATTATGTGAGAATCCAAAATGTCTAGATAAAAAAGAGAGGTATAGAAAAGAAAAGGAAGATTTGGAAGAAAATTCACATAGAATACCACCTTGCGCGGAAAGGAAAAGAAATTCTCAAGAAAAGAATCCAAACTCTTCAAAACAAGATGGAAAATATAAGGACTCACAGCACATAGGCGATTCCAACGAATGCTCTGAAGAATTTGATGATCGTCCACGTTATCGCTATGTCAACCGATCAGATAATCTTACAAAGCAATCAAGTAATAGTTATGAAGTCTGCGACAACCCAAAATGCGTAAAACCGTTAGAAAACGTTACCAATAATAATGGTCATGAAAAGAGACGATATGAGAATCCAGGTTGCGATCGATTTGAATATGGATATGGAAGGAATTCAACTGGTCGGGAAAGGTTTGATCCAGAGTTAGAAGATGTTTGCTTAACAGATAGCCCGAATCGCCAAAGAGTTCTCTTCACTAATCTCCGGAGATTTAAAAACAGCAGAAATAATACAAGTCGTCAATGCAGTGGACGATCTGATTTATACAATGTAGATCGTATTGCTATGAAGACCTTTAATAAATGCAATAGCATGTCTATAGGCGATCGTCAGGCGATCAATAAATTTTGTAACTCAAGGAAAACCGAAGCCAAAAATAAGTTCAAACCGGAAAGAAGCATCTGCATTTGTCCTGGTAAACCGGCACCGATTTTTGTTAAAAACAGGTATAATCCTTTTGTTACGATTCCTAGTTTAAATAGCTACGAGGAATATTTCTTATCGAATTTTCAAAAATTTAAAGAAGAAAAGAACAAGAATCATAAATGTGTAGGAAATTGTCCTTTTCTTATGGAGTATGAAATCCCTTCGAAAAAATACTCTTCGGTTTCTTTCTGTAAGGAGAAATCTCAGGTATATGACATTCTTATGGAAGACAAAATACATTCAGAGAACTTCTCATCTGGTTCGTTATGTAGAGTGAAATCTCAAGAATATGACACTGTTATGGAAGACGAAATTCCTTCGAAGAAATGCTCATCCGGTTCTTTATATAAAATTAAGTTTCAAGAACATGACATTCCCTGCAACTGCCAGAGTAATGAATTTAATAAACACCACGTTCTGAAATCTAAAGCTTCAATCTTCAGTTGTGTAAAATCGCCAAAACAGGAGGGTAAATCAAAAGCAAATATAAAAACAACTCAAGGAAAAGAGATAACACCTCTCAATAAAAATTCGCAAGAAAAGCAGAAGCACGAGAAAAAAACAGATTTTAAAAACTACGAAAAGCCCCCGTCAAAATCGAGCGGAATTGGATGCTTAAAAAAAAGCGACAAAAAACCCCAGGAAAACCCCAAATCAAATGATAAAGAACCAACATCAAAAATGAGTGAAATTCTTTGTTTGAAAAAACCCGAAAAACGTAGTCAGAAAAATAAGCCTACAATTGAAAAAGAATCCCAAAGGGTGGTTCAGCAAAAACCATCGCCTCAAGACAAAAATCAAAAAAATAAAGACAAAAATACAAGTAAAAGATCGTCAAGGCGTAGCGGATTTTTCAGTTGGTGCAGGAAATCCCAGAACACTCAACGGGAATATGAAAAGCCATCATCGGTTAAAGAATGCCCTTGTACAAAACAGCCGTCACCCAAGGATCAAGAGTCACCTATGCTAAAATCGGGCGCTCCTTTTCCCTGTTCCTGCGCTCCCAGGAAATCCCAGATCACTCAAGGGGAAGAAGAGAAGCTTTCATCGGTTAAAAACCCTACTTGTAGTAACCATCCGTCCCCCAAGGATCAAGAGTCAACTTTGCTAAGATCGGGCGTTCCTTTTCACTGTTCCTGCGCTCCCAAGAAATCCCAGAACACTCAATGGGAAGAAGAGAAGCTATCATCGGTTGAAGAATGCCCTTGTACTAAAAAGCCTTCACCGAAGGATCAAGAGTCACCTATGCTAAAATCGAACGTTCCTTTTCACTGTGCCTGTGCTCCGAAATACATGGATGACGGTGAGGTTAAAGTCCTATATGACTCCAGCTTCCGTTTCCAAAAGGAGAGTTGCAGTTGCGCCGAAGTTTCGAAGACCAGATATTGCCATTATAGCCCATCTGGACAGGATACAGACTGGTATGAAGAATCACCTCAGGAAAGCCTAATATCTTGCGTGCAAACGTTTCAGGAGGAGGGGATCGAGTACTGGCCATGTGCCAGCGCCAATGGCTTCTACAAAATTGTGCGGTAACTATGATTGAGAGTTTCAACGAAAACTTGGACGTTTTTGAGAAAATTCCCAATCATAAATACTAAAAGTAGAAAATTTATATAAATTAAATAAAAACTAAATAAAAAACGTTTTTAGAACTTAAACTTATGTACAACTTAAAATATTTTTTTTTCAAATAGCAGTTCATCCATATAAATAGAAATTTGAAAAATATGTTCGTGTCACGACTTGTTAGACAAATGAAACAAATCGATAGCGGTCGTCAATCAGCTGTATTGTGCCATCTCTAGTAAATATCGCATGCTGCCTTAAAATGTTGAAAAATATTTTGAATAAGTCCAGGCAGGTGCTTTATCCAGTGGCCAGGACATTTAGCCGCAGTAGCAATCAAGGCAATGCTGTAACGGAGTCCGCGGCGGCGGTCACCGCTCCTTTGGCCACCAAATCCCCGTTAATTTTGCCGCAAAATTACACGGATTTTACGCCGGTAAGCAGGAGTACGGCCCGTCAGGCGTGGATCGAAAATACAGATGCGGTGGCGGAAAGAAAAGTTGGCCTCATCGAACTGCATCCAGATGTGTTTGCTGCCCAGCCACGGGTGGACATCATTCAGGAAAATGTGGAGTGGCAGCGTAAGTATCGTTATGTAAGCATGGCGCACACAAAAACCCGGGCGGAGGTGCGCGGTGGCGGCCGAAAGCCATGGCCCCAAAAGGGAGGAGGTCGTGCCCGCCACGGATCCCTCCGGTCACCTATGCTCAAGGGCGGTGGCGTGGTTCACGGTCCCAGATCGCCCACTACCCACTTCTATATGCTGCCCTTCTACAAAAGGGTTTTGGGGTTGACCTCCACTCTGAGCGTTAAGCTGGCTCAGGATGACCTGCACATCATCGAGAACGTGGACATCCCCACCGGAGATTCCCAGTTCCTCAAAGACCTGATCGCCGAGCGGAATTGGGGACCCTCTGTTTTGGTTGTAGACGAGTAAGTATTGTTATTCGGAAACTCTTAAAAAATCTTTTTAAAGGTACTTAACTGCTTAGATTATGGCTTATATTAATTCACACATATATTTTCCTTCGTTCTCAGAGATCACATGTTCCCCGCCAATATATGTCAGGCCAGTGATGACCTAGGATATGTCAATTTAATGCCATCCTTCGGTCTCAATGTATATTCCATGCTAAAACACGACACTCTTGTTTTGACTGTGGCTGCAGTCAAGCATCTGGAGCAAAGGCTGCTTTACCAACTTCATCGCAACGACGCCGCCAGCAAGGGCGGAAAATTCAAGTTGGATCAAGTGTAGATGCTAAAGATGTTCGACTTTAGTTTATTTGTAATCTTTATGGATGCCAGAAAATGCATTGTTAAACGTAAAAATGTTTTTTATTAACCTCCTTGGCAGATTATATTTTCAATTTATGCAAGAGGAGAGATACATTATTTAACCAACTATGTAGCAGTCAGCAAAAGCGCTTTGCTCTTTATTTAGATCCTTTGCTACAGTGACCAATGGATCCTTATCCGTCTCGGATACCAAAATCTCGCAGGCTCCCTTTAGGGACTCGCTCAACTTAGGGGAGAACTGCTTTAGGAAACCCCTTTCCGAATTGCTGTGATTGCAAAGCAGCACAGTTGTGTTGTTGTGGGTGAACTCCAGCACTTCGTGGTGCGACATTTCGCCGGTAATAATAAGGTCCGCTTTGATGCCTTTCAAAAGGGAACCGCCAGACCCAGCGCAAATGCCTACAGATTGGATAAGGGTCTTGGGGTTATGATCCACAGCCAGAGCAACGTGTACGCTGTTTCCGATGTGCTTTTGCAAGGATTCAAGCACCTGTGAGAGCTCCATTTTGGTGTCTATATATCTGCCGGACCCTGTGCCCGGTGGAGCTCCTAATTCGGGTTCCAAAGGCCGGATACTCAGGATATCCACTGCCTGCGACAGCCAATCGTTGACGCCACCGCATGCTTTATCCCACGCTGTATGAGGTGAGTAAAGGGCTATATCATTGGCCAAACAGGCGGCCACTACACGCTCCTTCCAATGCGACTGAGTTACTCTCGTCAGGGGCTTGAAAATAGGCGGATGATAGCTGATGATAAGCTGCACTTCCTTTGTTAGTGCTTCGCTCATCACAGGTTCGGTTAAATCATTGGTTAGCAAGATTTTCTTGACTTGCTTTTCTCGGTGCGGTTCAATAAGGAGTCCAACGTTGTCCCATTTCTCTGCCAAAGTAATCGGCGCAAAGTTCTCTAGCTCCTTCACCACTGTTGCCAGTTTTTGACCACTGAAAGTGCTCATCCTTCTTAGCATTCCTTGCCGCCCTTGTTTGTTCTATTATTTAATAAATGCAAAAGAACTGTCAACAAATGTCTCACTTGGAAATTGGCGCTGCCAACTTAGTCTATGGCAGGGTATCAACAAGTAACAGATTGATACCCTGCATTATAATTACGCTATCAAAGAGTCGTTTATATGTGGGGTTAATCCAGATGAATGTCTTTAAAAAAAAAAAAAAAAAAAGTTATGCTTTAAGAAATTCATTGGAATCTGGGAAATATAAAATTTTTTTTTGTATATTCCGCTTATCAAAGTTAAAATAAAAAACAAATCCGAATTCCACAAACCGGAATTTATAAGAAAAAACCAGGGGCGGACGCAGAAAAAATTTTGGGGGGGTTCGATCGAAAAATTTGTTTGTTTGTGGGGGGGGTTCCGATCAAAATTTTTTTTTTTTATATGGTTGAAAGACAGTGTGCTATAAAGGAATTTGAAAAAGTCTTAGATTTGGGGGGGGACCCCCGCACACCCCCTGCGTCCGCCCCTGTATCGTGGCGGTTTTTTTCAAAAAACCAAAGCCAGAAAATCCAGAGTCATGAACCTCTCATTATTTATTATTCTTATTTCAAGTTGACCGTCTTAAAACCCAAATTTCCAGGAAAAATTCTTATCTTATCAATATACACCCAAGGGTTTGATTATATAACATCTTTTCTAAGAGTCTAGAAAATAAATGTATTCATGCTTTTCTTACAGTGTCAAAAAATATTAACCGTTATGCGTGCATCTTGGCTTGTGTATGGATTTTATGGATTTTTAATAAGTGCTCCAAACCACAAATACAGGTCACAAGTAGGCAATTCATTAATCGAAATTTCACGAAAATCGAATAAAAATGCATTTGCGAATTAATGCAAGTAAAATCCCAAAAGAAATTACAAGTAGAGAAAACCCCCAATTAAAAAATTTAGCTGAACAAGACTTTCCCAATAATAATGTCTAATCTAAACCTCTTTTAATTTCTTAAATTATATTAAATGATTAAGCACTAACGAAGTGCGATTAAATTTTTAAAAACCCCATAAGGAGGCCGCATGACAAATACAGAATAACCCCTGAAACTTAGCGAGAGGCTGTAGATAGCATGTGAAGAACCGGCATACCGGAAACCCAGGTAGAAATGTACAAGATTCCAAATTCCAGATTCCAAGAGAGTATCCTTCGCAGCTGATCCGAAACGATCGCTGCGATGTTTTCCCCGATGTTTGTCGGTTCGTTCGTCATACGCATTTTGTCCACAGAACACTAAACATCGCTCTGAAAAACTCACCGATCGGATCTCAAGTAAAAAGTATAATTAATTATTTTGCTGATGTTATTGCTTTTGTTGCTTCTGCTAGTACTGCTTTTGTTGTTGTGCGATTTGAACTTGGCGCTCTACTGGCCATCTGGCAACATTTTGGGGCTCTCCCGCAGAAACCCACACAGCTGCGTTGTCTCTTTCTCATTTTGTCTCGTCGGCTGCCAAATCGTTCGGGTTTAGAAACAACAATCCAAAACAATAAGTATTAAGTATTGTTAACGGACCCGACGATACTATATACTTATTCTCTCATGATAAAGACTTTATATATAAATATATATATGTTTATATATACTCGCATCAAAAACTCGCTCGCAATTCGTATCGAAACGTGAAAGAAACCAGACGTGCGCTCGGTACTATGAGAAGTGCAGATAGCAAATAAATTTGAGACTTAAAAAAATAACAACGCGTGTTGAAGCAAACTGAGCCAGACAATTAACCAAGCAAGGTAGTGATATACAGAAAATAGTGCCTACATTTTTAACAAAAAACGTGAAAGGAAATAGGAGTTGAAAAAGAGGAAGCTGTGTGAGAAGGAAGATAAAGAAATCTCCTACAGTGTGTATGTGTTTGCGTGCGTGTGAAACAAACGTGTAAAGGCAAACAGGATAATATTCATGTTACAAAATCAAAAATACTTGTGCGAAATGTTTATTTTTATGATTCTGGAGCTAAAACTTGTAGATAAAATTTAAAATTGCTTTAATCTACAAAATTATTGCGTTTTCACTTGTTCGCTAAAGTCTATATGTTTGTTTCACTCGCACTTGGAGCAGTTACGTGCGAGCGCTTACTGTCGGGTGTGCATGTGTGTGTGAGAGGGAAAGAGAGCGCTTAAGACTAAGCTCAAAAGCAAAGTTCAAAATGACAAATATATATATGTATAAATAATATATATGTATATATATTTGCAGCCCAACTGAGAGAGTCCGGAAAAGCACGAAAATGTGGAGCCCAACAAAAGCAGCGGAGGCAGCAACAAAGGCAACAGCAACAAGTGACTGCAGCTGCAGCGCTGCCAGTGTTGAAGAACGAGGCCCCGCTAATATCGCAAACCCCTCATCCACTAGCGGTAAATTTGGCGGCAAAACAGAAGATCAAACGGCCGCCATTAGCAAGCAAAAGGAATTTGCCGTGCCAAACGAAACCAGTGATTCGGGCTTTATTTCGGGCCCGCAATCCTCGCAGATCTTTAGCGAGGAGATAACCCCTGAGTCTGAGGAGCAGGACCAGGATAGCAAGGATAAGGAGCAGGTTCAGAAGGAGTCGGAACTCCAGAACGCACAGCCCGTGGTCCTTGATTCCGGCATTATCGACGAGGAGGAGGATCAGGAACCGGAACAGGATCAGGAGAAACAGCAACAGGATAGCACCGCCGATCAAATGCGACTAAAAAACAGCACGGACACAGGTATTCCACAATGGACCGTCCAAAGCAATTTGGCCAATCGCGGCGAACAGCTTAACAACCTCGGCCAGAGCAGCCCCCAAACCTCCAACCGCAGCAAGCTGCAATCCTCCACAGCCAACACCATAATCCCGAATTCCTCCGGATCTGGAGCAGCCACATCCGCTCCACCCAGCAGCATCAGCATTATGAACGCCTGGGAGCAGTTCTACCAGCAAAACGACGACGGTGACACGTAAGTAAAAATTATATCCCGTGAAAAAAAGTTGATTGTTTAGCGAACATATCAGAAAATTTAATACTAGTCTGCACAAGGCTTATGTTAAATATACTTCCACCAATGTCCAAAAAACAATACCTCAGATAATACTTACAACTTGAATGCCAACTTAGTCTTTGTTTATAATTTTTACATTTGGGCTCGATAAACATCACAAAATCTTTGTATAACCCATGTTGTGCAATAATCAACAGCTGTAGAAATGATCTTGCGAATGATTAGGTCTGACATAATCAGGTAATAAAAACCTAAACTAAAGAAAGCATCGTTGGTATTATTAGACTTGAAACCAGGCATTACTGTCAGCTTACTGATTTATTCAATCTTCCGGCTCTCTGTAGCACAATCATTGAATTTTTTCAAAGTTTCTTTTAACTCAGACGTGCTGTATTTCCGATGAGAATTTCAAATTTCCCAAAATAACAAAGACCGCGCTACATTGCACTGACCACCAAGCGTGCTAAGGGGAGAGTTTCGTGAATCACTCAAAGACCATTGTCTGAGAAACGCGACTGACACATGTTTTTTAGTCAGGCTTCGGGGTTTTCCTGGTATGTGGGCAGGTACGGGAACAGGTTTTTCGGGGCACCTCTTCTTCACCTTACTTTACCTTAACTTAACTTACTTGGGTTTTTACGCCGCCACATGTCAGACGACAAGTGTACGGGAAGGGAAGAAAGTGCGGGTGCCGAACGGCAGGTAAATAAACTCACAAATTCAATGTGTATCTTTTGCTCTTCTTTTCAGACCACTGCACCTGGCCTGCATCTCGGGATCCGTGGACGTGGTGGCCGGCTTAATTCGTATGGCACCGCATCCGTGCCTGCTTAACATCCAGAACGATGTAGCACAAACTCCCCTTCATTTGGCCGCCCTTACTGCCCAGCCGAATATTATGCGAATGCTCCTGCTAGCCGGAGCTGAGGTAATTAAAGTTGATATAAAAACTTCTTTTAGGAAACTTTAATTTCATAATGTCTCAATGAACATGCTAAAAGAAATAACTCATTCACGATTCTATAGAACTTTATCGTGAACTTAATTTCTGAATCTAACGAACACAAAATTTCAAATTACTCATTTGAATAGCCCACGATTCGCGATCGTCATGGCAACACGGCTCTGCATCTTTCTTGCAATGCTGGCGAGAAACAGTGCGTACGTGCCTTAACAGAGAAGTTCGGAGCCACCGAGATCCATGAGGCCCACCGACAATACGGACACCGTTCCAACGATAAGGCGGTGAGCTCCCTTAGCTACGCTCGTCTGCCCGCCGACCTGGAGATTCGAAACTATGATGGTAAGTTCTTAAAGACCTTAGTTTTGAAATCCTTATGAAATTTTAAAGTCTGTGTAAACTCTTTCATCTTGTTATTTTATGCATTTTTTCTATATTAAAAACAAGTTTCTATATTTGTTTTGGGGGAATGTTAAGCGCATTTAAATTAAATTTTTAATAATTTTTCCAAAATTGTAGGAATTTTTCAGTTCTCAAACTTGGTTATTTTTGGTTTTGGCCCAGCGCACTCGATATTTATCATGAAAATATGAATCTGTGCCAAAAGTCTAAACATTATATAGCTCTATATATATCTGGTGTCCCGCCAGCGGCTAGCCACAATGCGAGACATTGTCGTCTACCATATAGAATAGTATATATGCATACGTTATGGTTGTACATATATATTGTTATAGGCTATATAAACGCCTTTGAGCAGATGCCAAAAATACATTGGCCTCCCCGACACATTTCTGTGAAATTTTCGCTCGACAGCCCTCCGCCCGTTCGCGTTTTTGTTATTGATTAACGAAAATAAACGAAAAACGCAAGAACATTTGCAAAGTTTCAGACGTCAGCCGTGTATAATAGAAGCAATTTTATACAAGAATAGAATAATATTTAGTTTTCTGTTGGTTGGGAGAATCAGAAATACACAAGCGCTATTCGAAATTGAAAATCCATTGATTTCATTTGCTTTACTCCTTTGCCTTAATTTCCAATGCATTGCATCAAGGAAATCATTTTAAATTAAATTTATTTTCCACGCGTAAAGCCAGGTGTGTCCCCATCATTAACATGTGTTTCCTTATTTGATTTTACTCTTTATTTGCGGACCAGAAATCGAATTATCGATTTTTAAATCGTAATGTGGGGGTGCTACCCACTGAAAATGTATACCATGTGGGAGTAGCAAGGAAGGTTCTAAAATTGAACTCTTAAAATAAATCCATACGTATCTAGGAAACTTTGAGTGCTTGCCAAAATGTATGTATTTTTACCCTATATCCAGTTTTATTTCTATAAGAAAACATTTAAACACGAAGACCCGCTCAAAACCCAAAAAAATCCTCAAATTAATGTTAAGTCAACAAAAAGTAAAAGTTTTGTAATTACCGTTTCAAAGAGAGGTTAATAAACTTGTCAGAAAGTATTGCAAAATCGAAGTTATTTGCTGTTAACCTTTCGTTTGTTTAATCGATTTCTATTGGCCTTTTTGCCCCGCTGTTTTTTTTTTTTTTTTTTTTGCTATGTATAACCTTGCCAAAAATAAAATCCGAATTCGTGAGTGGCAAACATTTGGTGAACAAACATTTTTTTTATCCGACGGCCAGCTTTTAGCAGCGCTAACCGGTTTGAAGCTCCACAAAACAGCTGCTCCGCATATTGTGGATATATAGAGATGCTATATATAACCTGCTCAGACACGGCACATAATGTGTTTCGACTAGCCGAAAGCCAAAAGCAGACATTTCCGACAAAAACTATTAAAAACCAACAAAGCAAAAAGAAACGAGACGGTCAGACGCTTTTGAATATTTCGCCTGTTTGAAATCTCTGGGTTTTCCCACTGGCAAAGCATTAAATTCGAAAGCTATTGAAAACATTCATGGCGGGTCTTCGGGGGCACCATTGTGTATATAATTCAGATTACTAAGTAAACACAAGATCCTCTAATGTACGGTTCAAATGCGTTTTACTCCAGCTTTGACGTCAGAACCTCTTGGGTATAATTTTACCCTCAGAACTTTACAGATTGTTCCAGTTTCTTCTAACAAAATATTTTGTTTACAGATTCCCTTAGTCGATCCTCCTTAGGGCATCTTAAAGTTTTAGGCCTTGAAAAAGTTGATTAACATTGTCATCTAGTAAACAACATTATCTATCATAATTTCATTCATACACCTGATTATACATATATTTCTTTTTAAGAGTGTATTCTCTTGTTATAATTAGTGTTTGGTTTCTAAATTTAATTGCATTGCATTGGAATGTTCTTCTAAAATAAAGTAACTTCAAGTGAAAATGTCTTCTAGGGTGTACGAGAGGAATTTCTTTATAAATAGGCCACATTTTCCTCTTTGGCACAGAGCCAGCAATGAGCAGACTTTTAAAAAATGCAGCAAAGAAAGACAAATAAAACAAATAGAATAAAGATAGCATTAGGCCGATTAAAGGCGCAGACAAAAACGGAAATTGGGAAAGGTTCGTTATCAGCAGAATAGGGGTGAAGTCTCACCACCATCAAAAAATATCTCTGTATTTTTTGGAAATCCCCACAATAGTAATTATGGCCAAATGCATAGGGGTCGACCAACCGGCCATAACTTGGCCATAATCCATTTTTGGGCCTCATTAACGCGCTTGTCACGCAATCGGGAAACGGACCGAGATTATATAAATAAATGCACGCAAGGCTCTCAAGGACAACCACTATAAATAGTATAGGATTTTAGTCCCTATTCCGCGTCGCTTGACAACATTATTTGCTTTGCTCTTTGGAAAACCAAGAACGCCAGAAATTCCCAATGTTGATAATAAACACCACAAATCGATTGAGTGTAGTTCGGTTATCAGTGAAAATAAACCCTTGTCGTGCTAGGAACTGTGACGTTTTGGGGCGTATTAAGCTGGATCCCATGGATTTCCAAGAAACCATACAGAGGATTTTGAACTTATTTCCATACAAAAATATTCCCAATAGCGGGGAAAAGACAGAAAAATATCTCGTCTTATCGGTATGTGAGTAAGCAATAAACAAATGTCGGTTAAACCGAATGAGGGAATTTTTAGACTCACACATTTGTGCTGCATGTGTGGCATTTGGTGTGCCATCACATATCTTTGTTTCAAAGAAGAACCCATGAAATCTGTGGCCTGGCAACTGAAATCACAATTAAGAGCAGTAACTCCAGTACTTCCCCGGCTGATAAGCTGGCACAAAAAAAAGGCAAATGAAATATGTCCAGCGGTGTTCGATCGTCAGCAGACATTGGTAACTGGAAATCGTGCGTTATCAGCAATTTGAGGAAAACCCCATAGGTGGTCGCTTACGGTGCGATTATATGACTCTCTTCACAAACAGCTAACTGCGCTCTCAAACGTCCTCGCCCCATTCGCATTCAAATAGATAGCTGGCTTTTATCGGAGTGCAGGTTTTACCACTCGAGTATGACGCTATTCACTAGGGATCTTAACCATATGTGCTGTAAAGGTCTCGTGCTTTAAAATGCTCAGACCCGTAGAAACTTGCAGTTAAACCATGAGTTGACGGAAACTCAGAAAAACCTAAAAACCATTTGGCGTAGCCTTTAAATTGCCACATAAAAACAACGATGTGATGAACGGGTTAGAAATAAGTGCACAATTAACGTCACTGGGAAATTTATTAACAAAAATCTTGAGCTTTCGACTGCAGCTAGAAGTAGTATATGGAGATCTAGCGAATTGGTCAGGTTTACTCAGCTTTACACAATCGCAAACCCGTTTCAGGCATTATTGATTGAGTTTTCGTTATTAAATGACATCTGCAATCTACGGCATTCTGGAATCTTTCGACTATCAATGAGTTTTACATCAGTGCATGTAGAACCCATAAACAATAATAAATTAGTCATGAACGATTGCGAGACACAAGGTTAAACCTGGACTCTCCCGTTTTTGCAGCTGTTGCGGAACAGCCGATTACCGAGGCTGAGATAAACCCTCTAAGAGATCGAGGTTCTCGATTTAATAAAAAACTGTAGTGAAATTAATCCGCTTAGCTTTGAAACTTAGCTCGGATTTTAACACTTAAAGTTTATTCACTTTAACGGACAACGAACAAGGTTAGGTAATTGGTAATACGGAAATATTAACTTTTTCGATTTTGATAATTCCACAGCCTCCAAGATCAGTGACTTTTGTTTGAACGATTTAAACGTTTTTTGAGTTTATTCACATTATAGTGGGCGAGGTTTTGGTCATTTCTTTAATAAAACATTGTCAGCCTTAAATAAATGAATGCTAGCTTATTAAATTATTTTGTAAAAGCTGCTAAAATGTAAACAAAAAATTAATGAGTAACAGTAAGTGTTACTGTGAAATTAAAACCAGCAACACACAATGAGCTCATGCTAATCGCAAAGAGTATAAACAATGTGACGGAAGTTTAGTAACGCAATGAATAATACCTGACGTTAGCGGAAAATCCTAACTGCTATTGCTTTGACAAATAGAAAAACCTAAGGCTGATCTCCTTTCAACAAAGGTGACCACTTTGGGATTATCCCCAAATTTCGTTTGCGCTTTAATTGCTGTGCTGCCCTTTCTTTTTTACTTATTTCTTTTGTTGAGTTTTTTTTTTTTTCATTTTTTCTGCAGTCCCACACGTGGCTGACGATCCCACCCGATTTTGTTCGAGTCGGGAGTTATTTGCATTTCGCATTCATAGCTCGAAAGAAAGTCAACAAGGCGAATCCGCTGACATAACGATCGAGCGATATATAGAGTGGATTGGGGGCAGGCACGGGTGATCGTGGGGGAGCGAACTGAGCCCGAGTTGCTTTCAAAACACTTTCATTGCCAAGTCAGTCGTCGTTGTTGTCGTCGTCGTCATCATGGGTTGGAAAATCCATGGCTTTAATTGTGCTAAATTGTGCTGTTTGTTTTCGCTACATTTGGCGGCCGACTGCAGACCGCTATCTGGGTTTTCCACTTAAGTTTAGCTGATTTCCACATTGGGAAAGTTCGAAAATAGTTGTGTGTATGCATTTCAATTGCCCAACGGCGCCCAGAAGTCTTGAAGTAAACAGCTATTAATTTGATATTGTCTTTTCTCCCCACTTTTGGCTGTTTACTATTTATTTTTGGGGTATTTGCCGGGCCGTCATATTTGGACAGTTGGCTTTAATTTCATTGGCCATGTCTTGGGCCAGGTAATTCCCCTAATGGCCTGGTAACTTCTTTTGGCACGCGTTTGTGTGTGGAAAACTCGAAACAGCTTTCTGATAATTCCCACTTCAATAAATAATGCAAATACCCATGCCGAACACATTAAGATATTCCGTAATTGTATAATTATGAATCAATGACCCAAACTGAATGACAATAAAACTGGCAAACCGGGGAATACAAGAAATAAATATTTGAAACAAAAAAAAGAAGAGAATACAAAAGGTTATAAGCGAAAAACCCGTTGTAGAAATACCAAAACTCTGCCCCAACAATAAACACAATTAATTAAAATTAAGCGAAGACAGCATTGCGTTTAATATTTGCGCTGTCAATAAATTTATGAACTTTGCGACTTCGGTTGACTTGTGGAGTACTCTTAACTGCGCCGTTGGGTTTTTCTCATAAGGTCGTTGTCGATATCGTTGCCTTTTTTCGCCGCCTGTGTAAATAGAAACAACAATATATCGTAAAGGTAATGGGTGGAGATTGTTGGGGTGCTATAAGGGGGAATGGAGGTGGGCGCAGCGATCGGATCAAGTGGGCGGTGGTGGCATTTGTGAAAGTGTTCAGGCTGTCAAGTGCCGGGTAAATAGAATTTCCCATAATGCGCAGTTCTAAATGCTTTCATAATGGTCATTAATTGCTAAAACTCGAATCCGATTACAGTAATCTCTGAAAAATAAGTACATACTTTATGAAAATGTTGTTTAAGAAACTGTGAAACGATAAAAGAATTACAGCAACATTAAAATAGTAGTACTTTTTCCTCATGTAAATTATCGCAAGAAAGTGCTTAAATTGTATTTACTTTATTCAAATTCTTGGCTCTAAAATTTCTCCCTCAGCTGTATATGTTCAGGCTGTTTAATCATATTCAAGCTTGTCTTTTTTAAGTCGTGACATCAAGCTTAAAAATATTCAAAAGGCGATAACATTCGCATATTTCTGGTTCAAAAAGTTTAAATTTTACAGTCGTGTAGTTACTTTTTTATATGACCTAATAAAATGCTATAGAAATCGCTAAAAATATTTGTGACAATTGAACCCATTTAAATTTCAATTATTGCTATAAATTAAACCGATAACGATGGGATTTAATTCGTTTTTCGAACGTAGAAAACATGCTAAAGTCAGATATTTCTAATAATTGAGCAACCATCGTATTTATTTCTGGTCTAACTGCTTTTTGAAGACGTGTCTTCGAGTCAGACTAGCTGGCTAAGAAAACGGATTATAATCTGGGAGATCTTGTGACGCAGCCCTCTGTCCGGCGACGGGGGAATTCCCAAAAGCAAAACAAAGTTTGAAACAAACTTTTGTGTTTCATATTTCATGTTTTATACTGCCCCTTCGTCTATTAATACCGAATATCGCTGTGTATGGGTCTTTAATCGTATGCTAACGATTGGCACGTTGCTGTGCTGAAAAGGCAACAACAATGAGGATTGTCTTTTACTAGCTCACCGGCTTCTCTTTTAGTTAGTCGAGCTTTAAAAACTCCATGTGGTCATCGTTTATTTTTAAAACTTGTGACACAATTGTTGCTGTTGTAAGCTGTCAAGTTCGAGAAAAAAAAAAAATCAAAAAAAAAAAAAAACTGGACTGCTGACTTTCTTAGGCGCTTTCTTTCTCATTTTGGTTTTTGGAAATTCCGCGGGTACTTAGGTTATTATTATATTTAATCTTCGAACGATAACCTAAGGTGTCATTTTTATTGTTTTTCCAAAGGGGAACTGTAAGGTTATCTCGCTTAAAAATTTTTACTGACTCATAGGAATGCTCGTTAGTTTATTACCACAGAAAGTTCTCCGTTTAAAGAAACAACAGTTTCTGAGCGGAAATCTCCGGCTGGTCATGTAAATGTGTGCGATTAATGCAAATGTGCCAACCGTTTGTGTGTGAAAGTCAATCAACAGCACGTGTAGCCCAGCCGCAAAAAATAAACTAAAAGGCGGGCAAATAATATGGCAAAAGCAGTATAAACAACAACAACGGCTACGTCAACTAATCATAAAGCCATAAAAGCGAAGGCATGGAATACAAAAACAAACAGAAACTAAACAATCCACCTTTGTGTTCAGTTTTTTTTTAGTTTCTTTGCCAAGCGATCTGTATTCCAGCAACGACTCGATATTAACAATACTAGAACCGATTGAGGAAGAATCTGAAAAAGAGCGTAACACAGAAACAAGATAATAAATTTGTAATTTGTTCCGATAAGGTTTCTAATATATATATACATAAATTCTTTTTAATTTTTTTTGTATTTGCGATTAAAACGCAAAAGCATTTGGAAAAAAATCATTAAACAAAATTGAAACATGAGCTGAATTTGAACGTTTCTTGGGCGAAATGTTAGTTTGCAATATATTTGTATTATTATTTTCATACACCTGTGTTCGTGTGCCCATATATCAGATTTCTATATGCTTAAACCAATTTGAACTTGAGCAAACTTGTAGCCAGAAACCCAAAAGCCAACTTTGTATTTGGTTTGTTAACTTAACTTAACGCCAACTGTTTGATTTTTATTTTATTTTATTGTATTTTTTTCCCCGGTTTACCTCGTCACTGGCCATTGTTGTTGTTGTTGTTGTTGCTGTTGGTTGCTGGTGTGTTATTGCTGCTGTTTTATTGTGGGAATTTCTTGGGTTTTTCAACGCACACCAATGTCGGCGATCGGGCACACAGACACTCGCATTCGAAGTCAACGGGTTGTCATATTGTCTTATAAGGCAAAAGCCTCCACTTTGCACCCAGCCCCCCGGAAGACCCCTCATTTGCCACCCAACTGGTCGTTGTCGTAATCAAAGCTTTTTTGTTCGTATTATAAAACGCTACTTGTTTTACAATGGAAAGCGATCGTATGCAGCAGCTTTTTTCACTGTCGAAAAGCTCGCAGTTCATTCATAAATCAAGCTTTTTCGATCAACAGTTGAAGGGAGAATATTATACAAGTTGGCAATGTTTATTGATGTTCTCATATTGTTTTTTTTTGCAACTTTTAAGCTCGCGTCATTTTTATTATGAGCAATTTGCATTATCGTCTTAAAAGTTAACTGTTGATCATACTGTCACAGCTCTCATAAAAGGACAAAAAAGTTTTTAATTATTTATTATTATTATTTAACAAAATCGTTTACTTTTTTTCATTGCAGGAGAGCGCTGTGTACATTTAGCTGCCGAAGCGGGTCACATTGATATCTTACGCATTTTGGTGTCCCATGGAGCTGACATTAACGCTAGGGTAAGCTTTAAATATAAAAAAAAAATTGAGTATTCATTACTAACTTCAAATCCTGATTTCAATAGGAGGGCAAATCAGGACGCACCCCACTGCACATTGCGATCGAAGGCTGCAACGAGGATCTGGCCAACTTCCTGCTCGATGAGTGTGAGAAGCTCAACCTGGAGACGGCCACCTATGCCGGACTGACGGCCTACCAGTTCGCTTGCATCATGAACAAGTCGCGAATGCAGAACATCCTGGAGAAACGCGGAGCGGAGACCGTAACGCCACCGGACAGTGATTACGACAGTAGCGATATCGAAGATCTAGACGATACGAAGGTGAGCGTCACTGCTTAAGAAAATGTACCAAGAAAGGATCGTTGAGATCATAGAGCGTAGACACAATTTGAAAATGGGCCACCACCAGCTTCCGAAATGTTCAAAAACTAAATAAGAAAGATGTACCCAGCTGAACTGGTATTCAGTTGGAAAAAATTGTTACACTTGAGCAGAAGAACTATTGTAACACTTATGTATTGTTAACCAAAAAAAATAAGAAAAAGAAATGGAAAAAGAAAAGGAAAAAGAAAGCAAACAGCAGAAGAGCAGCAAGTAAAGTAAATATCCGCACTTGATCTGTAATAGAGGGGATCTATGTTTTAGTAGAACCCATTAAAAAAGAAAACAAATTGAACCAATAAAGTAATTCTGGTTATAAGCGGTGCTGCGACAGTCGCGGTATCATTTTACCACCAGCTTTTAAGAACAAACCATAGATAAAATAATATTGTCCGGACAACTTTTGTGCGTTTTAAAACTGAACTTTTTCTATACTCATAAGGAAAATGCACTGTACCAATTTATATTATAATAAGCTGTCCAATGTAAAACTTGATGTTTGTTGCTATTCTATCCACCTACATCTATGTATTCGTATGCCTGTGTCTGTATGTTTGAATCTTTTGTGTGTGCGTGAGGGTGTCTGTGGATTAACTCACTAATCTATTATTATGAAAAATGAACCATAAACCTTAGAACTAAGGTAGATAAATCTAATTAATGTTTTCATGTTCTGACTGAATGAAATGATGTTGCAAAATAAAAATTTTACTCTACAAAAATGAACAAAAAAATTTAAATTTTATAAAGACGAGTTTTTACTAGCTTTGATAAAGTTTTCTTGAACTAAATTATCATTTCTAGCAAATTCTCAATGAATATTTTTGAAATTTGATATTGAATGGATTTTAAAGGTTTGTAACTGTTTGCACCCTGAACTTTTTCATCTTTCTTGTTTACAAGTTCTTGTTATGTTGTTTGCTTATTTTTTCGCTTTTTGTGGTTTTTGTTTTAAAATTAAAATTTTTGCCTAGCACTTTTGTTTAAACTAATTTTAACCTGCTTCATTTGTGGTAATCTTCTACTTTCAGACGTACGATCGCTTTGGTGATCCCCGCTATTTTGTCAGCTACAATGGTGGTAACCCCATGACTGTCGCCTAAATGCCCAATCCAATCTGTACATACGATTTAGACTAAACATATATATGATTAACAAAACCCGAACTCCCAACCTGGTTGAATTGATGTTCCCGAACGCACACGTTTCCTGCCCTGAAAAGTATGCTATATTTCTTGACATACGTTCACAAAAAGCATCCACGAAATGGAAACCAAATGTACTTACTATCCCAGCCGTAAACGAATTAAATTGCTTGTGCTAACGATAGTATTTAGAGCGAAATAAAGCATACAAGGATGCAGAATGTCAAGCATTTTATTTATACGCACACAAACTTAACTCTAAGAAATAAAAGTTAAACACAAAATTTATTGTTCATATATCGTTGGTAGGGGTCACATCGAAAAATCAATCCGTAACTACAAAAATTCTAAACATGAAACTAATAAATTGGCATGGCATCAAAAATAATTGTCTAGTATGGAAAAAGGGAAATGCAACTTCGATTTTTGTTGGTCAAGTAATTGCCCATAAAAAACAAGTTAAAACAGTCCTTACACTAATCCTGTTAACGAATGCTCTGCCGGAACACGCTCTGTTTGGCCTTGGTATTGGAAACCGCCTTTTTGGCCGCCAAAGGATCTGGAGCAAAGCAATTCCATAGACGCAGAGTTTCGTCGGCTCCAGCACTGATAACGGTACTGCCATCTGGGGACATGGCCATCTGCAGGACACGCGAGGTGTGTCCAGTCAAATCGGCTTGTTTCACCATCGTTGGATACTTCCAAATGGTCAGTTGATTATTAGCAAATCCATGGGCAGAGATCAGCTCCTTGTAGTGACGCGAAAACAACAGCGCGCAGACTTGCGATTTGGAATCTACTGATTTCATCAGAGAGCCATTGTTCACATTCCAGAACTTAATGCAGCGATCAGCGGTGCCGCCGCCGGAGGCCAAAGTACTCGGTTGCCAGGGACACCAGGCCAAAGCTCGCACCGCAGCCTGATGGTCATTGAATTTGTGCAGAGGGTCGCTGGCTGTTCCTACGCCACTGCTGGCCGCAGACCACACATTCACCAGATTGTCGTTGCCTCCACTGGCAAGATATTTGAAATCCGTGGACCACTTCAGGCCGCAGACCTCTTGTGTGTGTCCAGCCAAGGAGGACAGCTTGTGCTCCCGCGAACGTACATCATGGTGGACGATGGTGCCGTCACGACTGCCAGATGATACCAGGAACGAGTTCCAGGCCAGAGAACCAACTCGGGCACTGTGGCCATCCATTACCCGAAGGCGCTTAACCTTGGAGCAATCCCAAAGCTCCACGGCACCGGTGCTGTTGCCAATGGCCAAGATCTGTCCCTCCTGGATCCACGATAGAGATCCTGCATAGTCACCCTCCTCGAATTCTGTTAGCTGCTCGATGTTTCCGGTCTGGGCGTTCCACAAATAGACGCAACTGCCCAAGGCAACGGCCACGATATTGTCCGCACTCCAGTCCATTAAATTAAGATCTGGAAACAGCATACAAATGATACGAAGTGGCATTATTAACTTTTTTTTTGCACAACTATATAAAAAGAAACTAGTACAATGTTTCTACAAAATAATGATTATAATGTAGATTTTATAAATATAAGAGCTGATGTTGACTTACAGTAATCGTTAATAAAATCAGGAGCATCAAGAATTCTCTCGGACGTGGTTGGTATGTAGCGAGAGCCACTCTTTGTGGATATGGGTGTCTTTATGGAGTAAACGACTTTTAGAGGATTGTTGTGCGATTCTGGAGCTGCAGGAGCCTTGTTTTGGTAGCACAAAATGCGGCCTTCTTTGGAGTCGCTGACCTGTGCCACCTCTGAGATGAGTTTCTGTCGCTCGCCCTTATGAGCTGATGCCTGGACATTGCTCTCGTTGCTGTTGCTAGTGGTGGCCTTTTCGTTCTCTTCATCGGACTTGTCGCCGTTGTCCTTGTTTACCTAACAAAAAATAAGTTTGAGTTTACTATTGGGGACGAGTAATTTTTATTTAACTACTTTACTTATACTGATATTGCAGGGATCAAGCCCGTACAAAGCGAACAGAAGGGTAAACTTGTGGTTTTATGACTGGAGACCTCTTACCAGAAAATGTGCCAGCTCGAAATTGGTGGCCGCCCGGTTTGGAATGAAACGATCTCCGCCTCCGGGAGTCTTGGTGGGAGTGGTGGTGGACCTCTTAGTCTTGCCATCACTGCTCTTTCCCGGGGTCTTTGTGGGCGCCTGGACTCCCGAGAAACTGGTGTTATATGATACGGATAGTACCGATCGGGTGGTATTTGCACTTCCGTTAAGGGACGCCTCCAGCTTCTTCTTCCATCGGGGCGCAGGTCCGCGCGTCTCACCGTCCATGATCAATGCATTTTGCAAATCGCTCACGAAGTTGAACTGCGACATGATTTCCCGCTTATATGGAGTGTCAAGTAGTTTCTGTATTTATTACACAATTGTTTTAAAATTGCACGGGAGTCGTTTGAAGTTCATAGATTACTTAGATGTCTAGTTTTCTTTTCTTAGGACGCAATGCAATGGCGGTTCAGTTTGGAATTGTAATGTGACCGTAGGCGTTTGCCTGTAGTAGTATTTTTTATGATTAGGTTCCCAAAAATACCAGCAAAAGTTAAAACTGAAATTAAATTCTATGCTGAAAAATCCATTATTTTTCTTCTTATTTTTTGTTAAACGTTTTTAGTGGAACCGTTTATTACAAAAAAAATCTCATAATTACTGCATCCCTGGTGCACAGCTGTCATCATCTCCGCCCTTGTAAAAAAACAAGTGAGTTTTACAATTGGAAGCCGAAATTTTACGTAAATAATTAGCAAGTTACTTTGTTTAGCACCTAAAAGACGTGCTCGAGCGTTATTAGAAGATGGCCTTCAACTTTACCGCCTTCACGTATATAGTGGCCCTTATTGGGGACGCATTTTTAATATTTTTCGCCATATTCCATGTCATTGCGTTTGACGAGCTAAAAACTGATTATAAAAACCCAATTGATCAGTGCAATAGCCTCAATCCGGTCAGTAAACTTTGCGATTACAATTAAACTTTATAATTAAATTGAACATTCTTAAATTACAGCTGGTTTTACCGGAGTACTTGCTGCACATCTTTCTAAATTTGCTATTCTTGTTCTGTGGCGAGTGGTTTTCTTTATGTATCAACATACCTCTCATAGCCTATCATATTTGGCGGTAAGTGACTCATTTCAAAAGACAGCATTGAAACAACAGATGAAAAACAGTCTACCTGATTCTTGTTTTCAGCTACAAAAACCGCCCTGTGATGTCAGGACCCGGACTTTATGATCCCACTACGGTCCTTAAAACGGATACCCTGTCGAGGAACATGCGCGAGGGTTGGATCAAGCTAGCCGTCTACTTGATCAGCTTCTTCTACTACATATACGGGTAATTATACATAATTGATACTCTAGGTGGCCGGGTTCCCATTTGTCTAACAATTCTCGCTAATTTTAGCATGGTTTATTCGCTCATCTCGACATAGAGGCATTATGGCAGCTGCCTGGGGATCTCATTGTTGGCGCCAGCGCATCCGCATTGTGTATTAGTTGTCATAACTCGGAAAGAGACTCCGTTTTTGGGAGAGATTTTCCCATCAAACCGCGAACAATACTTCACTTGTATATTCTAGTGTAAATCCATTAAGACATTTTGCAGCTTTGTTTTTTTATAATTTGTAATCTATTGTCTCCAGTAAGAGATTGTAACGTATTTTTATTATGATTTTGCATTTCGCATATTTGGTGTAGTTGGATTTTAAGCATTGAATAAAAGTCAAATCAAATTTATAATTTTTCTTTTTTCTGTTTAGCTTGAGGGACAGCGGAGTCTTTGGCTGAGTACGAGGAACTTGGAGGCACCAGCACATTGAACAATAAAGATTAAAAGAGTAGTTTGCCTTATCAGCATGGCCAACATAGATATAGTTTAGGATCTGAAATTGTTTGGCAGTAATGATTAGCAAGCACTTTTTACGTAATTCGTTAGCTATATACAAAAGTTCATATCGTCTAATGAAGAGCATTTCTTTAAGCTAATAAGTATAATATAAATGTCGCTGATGCTGTAAGGATAAAACTAACTATAGAAAAAAAAATCTTGTTTCTATACATTTGTTAAGGTACAACTGAAAGGGTAATTAATTTTCGGCTCACTAGCTTCCTTTCTTATTTTAACTTGAAAACAGTTTGCAAATAAACAGACTCAACGTTTGTACGTATTTATAACTTTATTTTACAATCGTTCCGGGGAGCCACAGCTTGGAATAAACAATATTGTGATTGAATCTTGGTTAAATTAAAATGCTGTATTCATGAATAGGTACATGGGGCTATAAAGGGCAATTGGCGTTTGATTACGACATAAAAACAACGAAGAACAGGAAGAAGAATATGAGAACGCCGAATATCTTGATCATCAGCCAACGGTTCTTGGAAACAGACTGGAAATATTTGAGGATCTCGCCGTGGGCCGCCTCGATATTTAGTTCCGCATCCGCCACATTCGTGTCAATACGCTCCACGATCTCCTCCTGCTCCTTGACCATATGCGCCAGCTGCTGGAAAATGCCGCCCAGTTCAACGATGGTAGATTCTATATTTTGCATGGTTTCCGCCCGCTGCTGGACGTAGTTATCCGAATCATCGTAGATAGCCATCTGTGTTTGGGTTGACAAGAGCGGCGTGGTGTCGCTGCTGCCCATGTCTATGCTCACTGCTTGGTTCTCCTCGCTGAGAAGCAGCGATCCCTGCTTGGCTGTCGATGGAGAGACGGTGTGAGCAGCCAAAGGACCTGGTCCCTGGCTAAACTGATCCCGTCGCGTCTTCTGCTGCTTGAGGTTCTCTGTGCGCACCTCCAGAATCTGCTTAAAATCCGTGCTCATGCTGGCCAGCTTCGATTGCAGGGCCAGTACCATATTTGAGGAATGTGATACCAGGTGTTTGCCGTTCGTGTGACGTCGCTGGTCCTTGGAGATGTCCTGCAGTCGGGCAATCTGTTGATTCAACGCATTCAGGTCGCCTTTGATGATGTATGTCAGTTCCTGGATCTCCTGCGGTCTGTCATCAAAGAGGCTCTTCTTTTTGGCCACTAAAATGAGCAGCGGGAATGCCAATAAATTATTGCATTTTATAGCAAAGTTCAATACCAAATATAAAGTATTTATATACTCACACATTGTAAGCTTCTCCAGCTTGGCGTAGGTGCTTGCAATGTTCTTTCCGATGAACCTTGCCACCATCATAAACTCCGAGTAGCTTTGCACCTGCTTGGCCTTGCGGGGATCTCGGATATTGACTGCTCGGGTGATGTTGCGTGCCTGCAGCGATCGAATCGCATTGGCGAACTCACCGGTACGATCGCGACCCGCCATGACGAAGATTTCCGGCTCGGGTTCTGGCTCTAGGTGCTCTTCCTTCGGTTGGTACAACTGCGAACTGCTCGCACTGGAAGCGGGGTAGCTGTAGTTGCTTTGGCTATTGTTATTGTTAATGCCCGGTTGATTGCCGGTGACCACTGCGGCGGCGGCACTTAAAGTGCGCAAAGCTTGACCCGAGAAGGCGCGCAAGTTCCACTGGCGGGCCGCCTTTCCGTACTTGTCGTCGGAGTAGTCGGCTGCAAGAGATTCCCCCAACTGGTTGGTTTCCCCAATGTGGATGGCCGCCTCGTGGGCAGTCGGTGATTGAATCAGGGACTGTGCTGTTAGTCCTACCGATCCGCCAACTGCTCCCGTTCCGCCAAATCCTGCGCCTGCTCCTGCTCCTCCCTGCTGATCCTCTTGAATGGTATAGGTACTGCTGCTGCTGTAATCCTGCTGGTCCGTTTGATGAAGGCGTCTTCGGGTTTGCATCTCATTTCAGATTGCAGCTTGTCCCCTGGAGTTGACGTTGCCGTTTTCTCATATGCACACACAAACGATCTGATCTGTTGGACTTTCCTTCAGAGTGGCAAAATTTTCCCCTTTGTTTTCCTTTCTTAAAGCACTATTTTTCCTTTGGTTTTTCCACTCGGCACTTATTGGGCAGTCCTGTGTGTCCTAGATAAAGTATAATTTGGTTTTTGAATGAGCATTTTCCCTTGCTTTTGTCGAAAATTCATAATAATTGTTAAAGATTGCAGAAAACTCACTACACGCACCCAACACACTCACTCGCACACACACGAACACACCTCACATATGACAGATGACGATGACGTGTTGATATCTAGAACTATCGATTGGCACAAGAGTTGGCGGTGAATATGTAGCTATAGTCAGATCTGGTAGCTGTTAGTAAAAAATTAAATGTTAACTTTTGTATTACTTTCACCGAAAATTTGCACAATTTTTAAAGATTTTTATTAATATTAAAAAATGTTTTTACACTTTAATAATATGATATGTTTAGGGAAACAAAATACTTCATAAAAATACTAAAAATTTAGCTTTTATTTTGTTTCCTCCACAAGAAACGTTGCCGACACTTATGCGAACATATCGATAGCCGACGGCGAGCAACGCTAGTTTTTTTCTTTTCAACTTTTAATTCTCTTAATTAAGCCAAATAGTCGTAGTTTATCAAAGAAAATGACACTTTATCACTTTGGAAACTGCGTGGCTCTGCTGACGCCGTACTACTTCACCTACAAATACTCCGGCCTGTGGGTTTCCCGCTGAATTTACGTAGCTGCCAAGTCCGCAGCTCCAGGTCAATAAAAATATTTATGAATTATCCCGGTTTTTTCGCAGATCCGAATATGGGGCCTTCTGGAAATGCGTGCAAGCGGGCGGAATCTATATATTTACACAGCTTTGTAAGATGTTAGTCTTGGCCACATTCTTTTACTCGGATGCTTCATCTTCCTCCAGCGGCGAGTTCAACTTCTTTGCGGTGCGTGTGCTTATCTTTATTTACCTTTACCCAATTATTAAGGTTAAAATGTATGTGCTCTCTGTTTGACAGGAGATCTTCCGCTGCAGCGTGGATATTGCCGACCTTTTAGGATTTGCCCTCATCCTCAGTCGCATCCCCGGAAAGGGGCACTCAAAGCTCATTACGGCTGGTCTTGGATGTAGGTCGACCTTAATAACTTAATTAATTTCATATCGTGGTTAACTTAAAAAGTTCGAAGTATCAGAAGAATCAGTGCTTGCCCTATTACAATAATTATGAAAATTGCAAAAAAATAATATGATCCTTTAAAATGTAACTGAGTAACAGATAATACCTGTAAAATGCAATTTAAAACTAAATATTATCTTTATTTCGCAGGGGCCACTGCTGAGGTTATTCTGTCCCGAGGCATCATGCTGTGGGTGGGTGCTCGAGGAACCGAATTCAGTTGGATCTACATACTCAAATGTCTGGAGTCGAATGTGCTTCTGGTGCAGCATATAACCACGGCCACTCTTATCTGGTTGTTCACCCGTCACGATCTGAATAAGGCGCTGAAGCCGCTGGTTAGCCTGCTGCTGGCGGTGACTGTTTTCAAGGGTGTTTGGTTGGAGGGTATGCTCCATATTCTGACCATTGGGCCCTGGCTGACGGTGGCTGTTAAAGCGCTGGTGGCTGCCATAATTGGATTCTGCACGCTGCACATCTATTCGGGTCTGGCTCAGCAGATCGGCATCTAAATTATTGTGCCAAACACCTTGTATTCCTTTTGTTTTGTATCTTGTTTATTCTTTTTTTTGGTGTTGTCACGGTGGGAATGAGATTTTGTAATAAAGACAACAATTGCGATTTAGAGAATTATCCCAAATGTTAATGAATTATAGCTACGATAACGTAATAGTAACAAAGATTGGTACAAGAGTTTTAATTAACAACGGCAATGTTTTTAAACAAAACAAAGTGGATATCCTGGCACAATTTTACAAAAACAATTTAAAGCTGATGATTGTTAAATGTTTTAGTCTCAAGACCATAATTGAGAATTGCACAGTTTCTCAAATTAACAAAGTGAACAGCCTTTGAGGCGAACAACAATTCAACAAGATGTGGACTAAACGGTCTAAAAAAATATCCATGAAACAGTTTTTCTTAATTTTAAAATATTAAGAAAGCTCTTCCTGCATTACATTTTCTATGAGCTTAGCGGACTCCTTGCCTAAAGTTATTTGGTGCATTTCAATGGAGTTAGTCCGCTTTGAGATCTCAATAAAGTTGTCCCTCACGAGATCTGAAATTAAACTTCTGAATTATTTTATATAAACTTTTTTGTTTTCAACTCACACAACAAATTAACGAAGGCTAGCGAAGCCTTGATGCGATCTGCATACGATTTGATAAAATCATTTCCATCGATCCCCTTGATTTCGGGATAACTGCGCCAAATGTTTAAGAGATCCATCATTACACTGTGGGTATCTGTAATAAAGTTTAAACATTTTTTTATAATATTTTGTTGTCAGTATCATTATCTTACCAAAATGTTTGTTCTCACAATCAACACTTTTGTTGTACAAATTATTATTATTGCTTTTTGTCTCTAAACTAACGTTGGGTACCGGAACTGGTAAAATGTCTTCCAATTCAAGTGGCCCAGCTTGATTGTTGTATACATTTTGATTTTTTGACTTCCTTAACACCTTTTCTAGAAAAAAAATTTCCTTGGCTAGGTTCTCTGTAAACTCGGAGCCGAATATAGCTCTCAGTGTGATTTCCGATTCGCATTCCAACTCTTCTGCATTTAAATCCAAGACCGAATGCTGAGTTATATCTGGAAAAATATTACTAAAAAGAAAAAATAAAAAAAGGCAGAAAAACTTATTACAAACTTACATCTTATTTAGTTTACATAATAGTTCATTTGGCGTTTTTCCAAAGGATGGTTTCTGTGGTACAACAACCCTATCCATATATTCCTTTAGATATTTGCATCTGTGCTTCATCAACTGCTTTCGAGTATACTTAATATGCTTGTCAATTATAAGTTTTTTTTTACGAAGATTCTTTGGCTGACTAAATGAATTTTTGACCGAAGTGGGTGAAATTGACGGCAACGCTGGATCACAAACTGAATCAATGTTATTGGGAAAGATTTGAGCCATAATAGCATTATCAGCTTGGAATATGTTTGATTCATCCAATCTTGGCATTTTCTCTGGTAAAATGTCAGATGGATCCTGGGCTGTTAGGCTTCGCTTAACTAAAAAAAAAAAGAATAATAATTTTTTTTAGACTTTTGGTAATATTGAAAATTATTTACAGGACTTCCTTTGCTCGCCTTTGGGATAAAGTTCTTCAAAAATGGTTAGGTCCAATTCATCACTTTCTCCAAAACCTTCGGAGGGCATGATGATGCTCCGATCCTCTATGATTTCTATTTCTTCGGTTAAGGTTATGTCGTGATATGAACTTGCTTGCGTACAGTTGCGAGGAATTTCAATGTACTGTTCCTTTCAGATTAAAATAAAGCATTAATTAAAACTAAAAATAATCCTTATAAAGTCATTGTTACAGAAATGAAGAAAGATATGTAATAGTCATAAATTTATCCATTTTCGGCGGTTATGGGTTTTAAATTTATGAACTCACCTCGTGGAACTCGTCTATCACTTGCTGTGTACATTCCGACTCCCACATCTGGCACTCAGATAGCATGTTTTTGTAGTAAACCTGAACGGATTCATTTAAGAGTTCCGGCTCCTGTAATCTGGGAAGCTTGGCAAGGGTTACTTTTGATTTCTTAGTAATGACGCGCTTTCGTTTCCGATTAAATTTGACCTCTACTTCCTCGACCTTTACTGAATTGCTCGTTGACAGAACAAAGTCGAAGTTTGTGTGTTTCATTTGATCCAGCAAATATTTCGTGTCCCCTAGAAATGATCTGAAAATTTTACTGTCCACTTAAATTGTTATATACTAAAGCTTACCTAAAAGAATGTCCACCTGAAACCTATAAATCTCGGTGGCCCCGTATACCAAGCATGAAATTTCCTTAAAGCTCACATTTTGCTTACTCCTTGTTGCGAAGGGTATTGATACACGTAACCGTTCTGCGTTTACCTCTATTAAATCAGTTATTTGCTTGCTAATAAATTTCACAAAAATTTTATGGGTAACTCGGATATGTAAAACGCATATGTATGTTTCGTACCAGCAAGAGGAAATATTTACTGCTTTGAGCTCATTCCGATCGAATTGAGCGAAAGCCGACGAACGGTTCTTGAATCGGCCAACTTTCCAGCAGGAATCTAGGACGTTGTTACCGTTCAAATCCAAGTCCATCTTAGCGGCAACATTAAACACATAAATAATACTCCGATAGTTTAGACAAACGTTATTGCTTACAATTTAACTTATGTTAACCTTTTGTTAGAAAATAAACCAAGAAAGAAATACCATGAACCTTTAGTAACGGTTCTTTTTGGCAGCCCTGGTTGTAGAAGGTTCAAGTGGTGGCAAGAATTTGAAAAAAAAAGGAAATTTCATAACACCTGCATAGTACAAATTAATTTTTTGACTTTATTGACGGATTTTATAAAAAAAATCTTAATCTGTTTTAATTTATGTATAATTTGTTATATTATTTTGCGATATTTCGCCTGCTTATTACGATATTTTTTAGCGTTCAGTAAACGGTCTCACTGCAGGTGGAACAACAAAAAACCAAAAAAAAGGAGGGATAGAAATATTTAAACGTTTACTAAAGAAAAGTGATATTTTAAGCCCACGACAACTGCCAAATAATACGCGGAACGTTTCCTTTTTCCCTCAAGACATAAAAACTAAAGCTATGGTACAAAACCTCAGTAAAGTCGGAAATCAATTACCAAAATGAAAACATGACTAATGGATAGAGTGTGGGCGTGTTTTTGTTTGTGTTTTTGATCGACGAGATTGTTGTTCCTAGATAACTTTGGTGATTTTTGTTTATTAATCAATTAACTCAATTTTTTGCAGGGTGATAACAAAATATGCGACATTAGCAACGAAGTTTTGGAGGAACTGAAGAAGTTTCGCTTTAGCAAAAGCAAAAATAATGCAGCTTTGATATGTAAGATATAGTTACCATAGTAACACGGGTTCTATATCCCAGGATTTTGTTTTTCAGTGAAAGTTGACCGGGAGAAGCAATCGGTAGTGCTGGATGAGTTTATCGACGACATCTCAGTGGACGAGCTGCAGGACACTTTGCCAGGACATCAGCCTCGATATGTGATCTATACCTATAAAATGGTGCACGACGACCAGCGCATTTCCTACCCTATGTGCTTTATCTTCTATACGCCAAGAGATAGCCAGGTGAGCGAATAGTAATATTAAAGCATTCAATTCCTTACTAGCTCTTCGGTTCCAGATCGAACTACAAATGATGTACGCCTGCACGAAGAGCGCCCTACAACGCGAGGTGGATCTCACACGCGTCTATGAAATTCGCGAACTAGACGAATTGACCGAGGATTGGTTGAAAGCCAAACTAAAGTAAAGAAGTCTCGATCTCTGGGATCAATCATTCCGGGCCGTTGTCAAAAGCAATATTTTATAATAGTTCATCGATTGATTTTGGAGCTTTTTATAGACATATTCAACCTGGATCAAGCCGATACCAACGATGCATACCAATACCAAACAACACAATGTTGAGATACGACAATTTTTACCTACAGAAAAAACAAATCAAGCTAAGATTATACAACGTAATGACAATTTTTGTATAGACAACCACATGCGGCAAGTGTGCGGGAGAGTTCTTAGTGATTTTAGTTCTTGCATTTAAGTAATAATTTTCATAGAAGCTGTGCTTGCCAAATTTCTACATGTATTTATTGTAAAGATATAAAAGCAAACATGACAAAAAATATTCCATTTTATATAAACCAACTTAATAAGTGTTCAAATGTGTATTGTAGAGATTTTTAATTTGTACACTGCAATAAATGATAAAAAAAACTGGTATATACTGGAATATAATTTTAATAAGTAATAGTAGTACCCTCTTCAAAGGTAAGTAAAATTTATTTTTACGTTAAAAATTATGAGTTTCTGTAGATCTTCAAATTATGTTGTTCAGTAATGCAGTCTTTGAGCAGCCGTGTGGTGCAGCATAGTGTAGCGTCCTTCACTAGGTGTGGGAGGTGGAGGCGGTGGTGGTGCTAGCATGTGCGCCATGGCAGCCATTCCCATTTGAGTGGCGGGATTCGGTGGCCCCAGATGGTGCAGTGCATCATGATGGTAGTGATGCGACATGGGTGGTGCAGGTGGCAGCGGCAAGTTAAGCAGATTATTGTTGACTGCATGTGTGCGAAAATGCAGACTCAGACTGTCCGCTGTATCGAAAGCCTTGTCGCAGTCCGGGCACTTAAAGTGTGCGTGATCCAGGGTGTCCAGCCCCACGGGATCGGTGTCGATGGGTTCGTCATCATCGTCGTCCACTATATCATGATTAGTGCTGGACTCCAAAGGATGGAGTTTCAACTTATGAGACCTCATGTCTCTTCGCCTGCTAAAAGCTTTTCCGCACACATCGCAGTGATGATTTTTAATGCCCGTATGAGTTATCATGTGCTTTGATAGATCCCCTGCTGTATAGAACCCTTTTTGGCAAAGCGAACATATCTGATCCCTCACCCCGGAATGTATCTTCTGATGCGCCTGGAAGTTACCCAGAGCTGAGAACTGTTTGGAGCAGATTTCACACTGAAAGGGCTTGTCGCCCGTGTGCGTTCTTTCGTGAACTTTAAGGTTGTACTTCTGGGCGAATCTCTGGATGCAGAAACTGCATTGATAGGGTTTCTCCCCCGTATGCGTCCTTATGTGCTGTGTGAGTTGGGCAATGCACTTGAAGCTCTTGTGGCATTCGTAGCAGGTATGTGGCATTTTTGGCACCGGTTTGGGTCCCCTTTTCTTGTGTTCCTCTGGTGGCTTTCTTTGGTAACGGGATCGTCTTTTGCTCACTTTAGTGTCCACCGGCTCCTCCTCGTCGCTATCGCGCTGCGGAAGCGAAGGCTTCTCCACAAAGTCCGTATTGGTGGCCGCATCCTGCCGCCAGGACTCGAGGATGCCCAAATATTGCCGGAGCCGTAGGTCACTGTTTTCACATTCCTGCTTGAAGTGAAAGGCGACTCCTAGCCGGTAAATGCAGTTGTTGCAGATCACCGAGGGTAGACCATCGGTTTTGAAGACCTTCAACCATAAATATTTCCTTTTATTAATTAAATATTATATTTGTTATTTTTTTATACCCACTCTTATTTTGGCACACTGCATCAACATGACCGAGGGCATCATGGCAAAGTCTGTGCTATAAATCGAGGTCACTGGATGCAGTTCCTCTAGGCAAACACGACATATTTTGTGTATGTTATAGTCCATTTTTTAGATCTAGAATTTAAGCGAAATAAACAAATACTTTTCCGAAATTCTTCTTTGGCTACCAACAGCTGGTTGCTACCAGGGCAGCAAAGGTACAGTAAAAGTCCAGAGTGTGGACTTCTGTTTTTATATATAAAAAACAAAGTTGGAGTTTCTTTTATGGCTTAAACTGATTTTGTTTAATGAATTTTAATTAGAGAAAATTAATTTTATAAAAGTGAACAATAAGCAATATTCACTTATTGTAACGAGTGTTCGCTGTACCCCTCAATCGGTTGTATCGATAAATGGACCAGGAACTTAAAGCCAGGGCTGCAGTGGTAAGGTTTTGAAGAGCTGCCAGACACGTCACGTCACGTTGATTTGTTTGATTAAAATAAGAGAAAAAGCGAAGATAAATTGATTTGCGGCGGTATCAATCGATCCGTAGTCGGTAGCCCGAAAAGTATAACTAATCCGCAAATTGAAGGAAACGAGGCAGAGCGATCGGCGGAGCGGGCAAGGAAGAGAGAGCGAGAGAAACTGGGAGCTGCACGGGTGAAATTTCGTGGTTGCGGTACCCCCGGACCTGACCCCCCATAATATATCCATACTGCTGGCGAGGCAAGATGCTGTGTATACAATATTAGCGATTATCGAAAGCAGGCAGCGCATGTGCCGGCATCCGAGAAAACACAAACTATTTAATATTTAAGCTTTTGTAAACAAATTCTGGAGCGGAGTGAAGAGGAGAGCAAGGTCAAACAAACTGACGGATACCTGGTGAATAGGTTTCGTTTCGTTTCGCCGCAAGCGCCAGTAATACCGCACAGCTTGCAATGGCCACAACGTTTGAGAGCCAGCTGTTGCCCAACGGCAGTCTGTCCAGGAATGGCAAGACGAAAACGGAGGAGGAGGAGGTGGATGTTGCAGCCAAAGCAAGTGCAGGTGCTGGATTAGCACGAACAGGACATCCTCCCACATCCGGCACGTTTATGAAACTGAAAACCTATCTCCTAGCTCTGCGTCCCTGGTCGCTGTCCGCCAGTCTGGTGCCTACGCTCCTCGGCTCGGCCCTGGCCTACCGATCCCAGTGGGCGGCGGAGTTTTCGCTGGCCACCTTCTTCCTCACCGCCTTCACCGTGGTCACCGTCCACTGCGCCGGCAACGTGGTCAACACCTACTTCGACTTTATCAAGGGCATCGACAAGCAAAAGGCCGACGACCGCACGCTGGTGGACCACATACTAACCAAGGATGAGGTAAGCAGTCGATCGGATCGATCATTTATTAGTTAACCCTAGAGCGATTAGGTCGTTTCAGTTCGGAAATGGATCAATAAATAATATTGAACTATTCTAAATACTTCTTATTACAAAGGCTGCCAAAATATCTTGGAATATTTTTATAATTCCTATTTCACATTCCAAATTGTTTATTTAAATTTACTGTGTTCGACAACTATTCGCTTAATGACTTCGAATGCTGAGAGGCTATAAGCTAAAATATAGGTATATAATACTTTTTTCCTGCCATTAAATTTCCAAAACGTGATATTTCAATTGTGACTTGTTTATTTTAGAAAATAAACTAACAAGTTTAAATGCAATTTATTTATTCAAAAAACGTAAACACTTAAAAAATGTCTACAGTATTTCATCAGAATCCTAATCATTTTTGTTAAGAGGGAGATCGTGTTGGAACCATAAACAATTTTTTTATTATACATGGATGGATTTAAATAAAAAAAATAGTTGTTAATTATCAAAGTACTAATTTAAGCCAGGGTCAGAAATACAAAAATAACCTGATAATTTATAATAAATTAAACAAAGATTAATATTATAAAAGAGTTCATGAGTAATTCCCAAATTCATCAGGTCAAATGTTTCTTCTTTGTTATGATTATTTCCAAGAGTGAATAAACCTAAAATTAATCCGACTGTTTAAGACAATTATAAAAGATACATTCTTGTTAATTTTTCAGGTGGTTTCACTTGGTGCCATTCTGTATATGGCCGGCTGCGGGGGCTTTGTTTTGCTGGCGGTTCTCAGTCCGGCAAAAATGGAGCATCTGGCGCTGATTTACTTCGGTGGATTGTCCTCGAGTTTTCTGTACACAGGAGGCATCGGTTTCAAATACATCGCCCTGGGTGACCTGGTGATATTGGTACTCTTCGGACCAATTTCGGTGCTTTTTGCCTTCATGTCACAAACGGGCCATGTGGACTGGACAACGATGGGCTATGCGATTCCTTTGGCCCTCAACACGGAGGCCATTCTGCACAGCAATAATACCAGAGATGCGGACAACGATCGTCGCGCTGGAATCGTAACGCTAGCCATTTTGATAGGACGCACTGCCTCGCACGTTTTGTACGCCATGCTGCTCTTCGCTCCCTACTCGCTGTTCTTCATCTTCGGCTTGAAGTACTCCCTGTGGTTCCTGCTGCCACTGGTGACCCTGCCACAAGCTTTCCAGATCGAAAAGCGTTTCCGCAACGAGCAGACGATGCACCTGGTGCCAAGGCAAACGGCCAAGCTGAACTTCTTCTTTGGCATCCTGTACATCGTGGCCTGCTGTTGTGCCCAACAGCTGCCCACCTTTGGATTACGGAAACATTGATAGATGAAAGCAACGTACGGATCTTGCAGAAAAACAGAATCAGAGAGAAACTGGTGCAATGTTTTTAGGGAATTTCATTAGGTTTTAGTCAATGTGTGTAGTGAGAAGGGTGGGCAAAGCTTTGTCAATTACCCACAGTTTGATGTTGCGCAAATTTCGAATGCCTGCTAGTCGCCCGTTAGAGTCTAAACTTTTGAACTGAACATATCCTAGCCTAAATTGTTCGAAAATTTGTTTATTACCTACTATATCCACACCAACTCGTTTTTATTTATTTCACAATGTCACAATCTTTAATCTTAACCAATCAAGAACTCAATGTAATTAATAATCATACTCTTCCTCTCGCGCGTTGGGAATTACGGACCAAGAAAGTTTTGTGCAACAGTAATCAGTAATGCTAATGCAGATCCCATTTTATATTATTATTAAATAAATGTATATCACCACATTCATACGGGTGCAGATACTTAAGTTTCGCGAATCAAAATGCAGATTTACTTTACGAATAGAAGTGCTTGGAAATGCAGCTGAGTTGAACGTTTTTTGGCATTTGGCTGGCTTGCTTTTTGTGTAATTGTTAGAGTTTTTACATATATTATATACACGAACACGAGCATATATTTATATACACATCTAGATCATGTAAGCCCAGTGTCTAGCGGCAGGCTCAGAGTGAGAATATCAAAGGAAACATTAAGTAAAACGAAACGAACAGAACACAAATTTAAATTTTTAAATAACTATATACGTAGATGTCGAGGCGAAAGGAGCAACAACTGTTTTCCATTAACAATAGCGTATGCATATAAACAAATAGCTTTAAATAACAAACAGAACAGAAGAGAGAAGAAAGCCAAAACCTAATCGCATTATAATCCATTGTGTAACTGAAAAATTGTGCGGCAATATTTATTTGTGCGCTAGTTTTATGTATATTCATTCATTCTTTTGTACACCGCATAGAGAAATGCTTCTGTTGGAATCGCTCAGCAGCCGAGTTGAATTGAACTAAGTGGAAACTTTGTAGACTACAAGTCAACAACAAGATGAACAATAATAATTATAATGATATTGATAAATAAATGTTTAATTAGAGAATGTAAACATGATTTGTGTAACGTATACAGATATGTATTTTATTGAATCGGAAGGAAATGGAAAGGGGTCTTAAAACCAGAGCATTTATATATAGAGTGTTTATATATTTCTTGGATTCTAATGTAGGTTTTTTTTTTACGCACACCTTTATCCATGACGAGGTAAGTTTAAAACACTTTTAACATTAAAAGACCATAACTGCATAATCTGTATTAATGCTCTCTAGTCACTAACATAATGTCGTAAGGCTTGACCGCAGCAGTAGCTCCTTCGAGGGGTACCTCCTCTGGAACCTGGCCAGGAATAGCTACCATTTTAAAGTTCTGCAGCACTGTGGTCATGAACATGAAGAGATTCTGCCTTCCCAACAAATCCCCCATGCAGCGATGGCGTCCAAAGCCAAAGGGATTGAAAGCCTCCGGCAGTTTTAGGTGACCGTCGAAGAGGAATCTCTCGGGATCGAAGGCCTCCGGATCGGGAAAGTCCACCGGGTTGATGAGCATTCCCCTGAAGCAGGCAATAACCATCGTATCCTTGGGAATTTCGTATCCCGACAAACGAGTATCGCAGACCGCTCGATGGGGAATTCCGAAAGTGTGGAGCATAAACATCCTGACCGCCTCCAAGGTGATGGCTTCGCAATAGGGCAGCTTGGCACGATCCCTGGACCACTCGGGAATGCGCTCCAGACCCACCACCTCCTTGATTTCCCGGAAGGCCCGCTCCTGGATTTCCGGTTGCAGCACCAAGTGCATGAAGCAGAAGCCCAGACTTTTGTTGGTCGTCTCGGATCCGGCCAAGAACATGTCCAGGCAAATGGCCAACAGGCTCTCATCACTGAACATGCCCTTCTCATCATTGCCCTCCTCCTGGGCACGAAGATACGAATCCATCAGATCCCTGGGCTCGTCGTAGTTCTTGTAGGTCAAGCGATGCAGCTCGATTTCCTTGCTCATAAAGGAATACAAGGATCGATGGCTCTCCACAAAACCATTGTATCCGGAATAATCCGGGGCAATGAAGCGAAGTAGAGGAAAGTGACTGAACAGAGCACCCACCATATCAATGTTTTTGAAGAGCTCGAAGAAGGTCTCCAGCAGCTCCGTGATCTCCGGAGAACCAGGTTCATATCTTCGACCACTTAACATGCACCAGAGGGTATTCAAAACATAAACACTCGTCAGATCGTGCATCTCGATCCGCGCCTGCTTTCCTCCGGACTTGGCCACTTGGTCCTTGAGGTCCTGCAGCAAACAGGTGGCTTCATTATGAACGATATCCATCATTCCACTTCTGGCAAAACCGAAGTTCTTTAGGTGTCTTAGGATGAATCTACGCTGCTCCACCCACATTTCCCCATCGGTTAAAAGAACTCCCAATCGGTTGTTGAAGGTCCTTAGGCGATAGAATATGCCATCGGGTCGGCCATCAATATCCTCGTTGGTCATCATCTCACTGATCGCATCATTGGTATAGGCAATTACCACCTTATCCTTGCCAATTTTGAGGCCAAAGAAGCCATAAGGATTCACATATTGCTTGGCGAACACATCAATCACTTTGCAGAACATCCCAAGGCGGCATCGCAGTTGGGAAACCTGAAGGGCACTGCCCACTATGGGATACCAACGAGGTCCTGGCGGAAATCGCTTCGGTTTACGTACTCCTCCAAACAAGATTGCCAATAAAGTGGCGCAGAAAATCCAGATGACCGCATAAAACATGTTTCCCGCCTGCTTTCACTTTTCCCAGTTATGCAATCTTCGTTGGCCAACGGAGGCTGATGGAGTATGGAGCTGGTAACTTATCCACTGCTTCCTGGTCATCCAGTCCAGAGTTCGATCCCGCGCCTGACGTTCACCCAAATCGACTGAAGCCGCTCGGTTGCCTGGGCCTCGCTTTTATAGAGGTCTCCTAAAAAGCTTTTCCTCTTGAGTTTGAGTTTGAGTTTTCTTTGGGCGTTGAAGTTTCCACAAGAGTTCGGAGTTGGGAATAATGAAAACTATAAATTATGAATGAATGAGGGAATGTTCTTCGGTTTCCTACTTATGTAAGACATTTGGTCTAAGATCTGTGGATAAGAAAACCAATTTTAAAGCAATATTTTTCTTATGTTGTATATTATAAGCAAATGTATAAATACAAAGTTTAAAGTTATAGATATAAAATTCTTGTAAACTGGTTAGATATGATAAAGGAATTGTTTGACCTAAAAGAATTAGAATTAGTTTGAATTAATTTATAAATGATTTTTGTTTCCTGATTCCGTAAAACACCATTCATTTTTTCAATCAAATTTCCAAACAGGGAAAACTTCTTCAACCTGCTGGATAATTCTATGATTCACCAATACACAATAAAGCCTCGAAGACCCAAATCTTCACCCGTCTGACCCACTGCCTCGCGGATAGTTCAACTGCATTTTCCTTGGCGATTTATCGCCGCTAACCATCGACTTTAATGGTCATGGACAGCGCCACCAAACCACTGGATCAGCGCCAAAGTCAAGGAAAACTTGTTGCGTTCAGAAAACCGCGAAAACGCAACTCGGAAAACCCGTTTGCTCCAAATGAAAGGGAAAATAAATGGAGATGTCGGAGAAAGAGGAAACGCAGGAGGAGGTTGAGGAGTTGGAGGAGGAGGTGCCTGGACAACTCGACTAGATGAGGCTATTATGTCATCGCCATCGCCATTGCGGAAAGCGGTGGGATGGACTTTGTTTTGATGATAAGTCCGCTGGTTCCGGTTTTTTTGGGGTTCGGGGTTTGGTGTTTGGGGATTGGGGATTGGGGATCGGGGTTTTGCTGTTTCAGGCGATCAAAGTGGAGCTGCCATCGAATTTTTGGCATCCAATTGGGGGCTTTAACACGGACTCCACTCGCGGAGATCGCCCATTTGAAGAGTGGCTCTCGAGCTGTAAAGACGTGACAGGACAGCAGGATATTTAACAAGGATGGGTTTCAGGTGAGCAGGATATTAAGTTGTCAAGGAGCTCCTAACCAAAGAAGTCTTAATTATCAGTAAACATTTTTAAATTCTCAAACTGCAATTTTATAATCAATTTTATTTTGCTTTCATTTTTTTTAAACCCCTTGTAGAGTCATACTTTTGGCTGCCACCGGCCTTGGAGCAATGTACATGATGCACCTTCTTGCCCAGGATTGGGTAAAGATCCGACCGATCCGGGGAATAACCCAACTAGCCGGAATGGCGGTCCAACCCATTCAACAGGTGATTGCACCCATCCAGCAGGCAAGTGGAGCATTGAATTTGTTTCGGAGCCGAAGAGAAACGAATTTGAACCATGAACTTGGTTGGGTGCGGAGGAAACAGGATGCGGGAGGAGGGAAGGGAAGGGGAGGAGCTGCATCGGGTTTGGTCCAGAGATCACCTCCCGCTATCGACTGGAAGCGGATCCTCTCCAGAGATCCCTTCGAGTGCCTGCAATCCCTGATTTGCCAACTGATGTCCGGAGCGGAAGCCAAAGTTCCCGAGGCTGAACTCCTCATGGACTACCTGGAATCATCGGTGGAAATGGCTCCCGTGAAGATTGGTAGGGCCTTTAGCCGGGGATTGGCATTGAGGGGTTCCACGGAGCTCTGCTTCAACGAGTATCCCTTCTGCCTTTACTCCGCCAAAACGATGTTGCGAATCCTGCGATGGTTCAGCGAAACGGGGGAGGTGCCCGTGGAGGAAGTACCTTAATATTAATATTAGATCTAATAATAGATCTAAGCCTCAATAAATTTAAGCAGTGTGAAATGAGGAAGTTAAAAGTTCAGTTTCTTTTTTTGGTGCGTTTGGCGATTTTTCTCTATCTGCATTTCCGATTTGTCAAAAAGTCGGAAACCGGAAATTTGTACAAGATTCCCGATGTCGTTAACTTAAATACAATATATGTGTAATAAATATCCGCACTACCTTAGATGAAACACAAGTGTTAATAAAGGATATAAAAAACATGAAAAAAAAAGAATAGTTGGAAAGGAGTTGTATCAATAGAATACTTAAACCATTCTCTTTTAAGTGTAGATGTATATGTTTACTTGAAATTTGAATGAACATGAAATATTTTATAAAACATAGTAAATTCGAACGGAGAACAAACAAAGGCAGCCAAAGAGTGTAGTTAACTAAGGTGGCAAAAAACTCCGTCCGTAGATCCTGCGCACGTCGGCGTGGTAAGCCCGTCGCCGGCAGATTGGACAGCGATGCGATCGCCGGATGGCCGTGTGGATGCAGTTCTTTCCGAACAAGTGGCCGCAGCGCAGCGACACCAGGCAATGTCTGCCATCACCGGACCAAGGCAGCAGGCAAATGGGACAGGTGACGTCCTCGGTCAGTGCCCTAAACTGGTCCATCCGCTGGTTGAGTCCAATTACCCCCGCGCGCAGTTCGATGATCACATTCTCGCCGATGGTCATCATCCGATCGTGAATGGTCCTCGCTCGCATGAACACCTCCTGGCGCAACTGGGCCAGGAGCCGACGACGTTGGGTGCTGAAGCGCCTCATCTGAGCATTCAGCTGGCGCAGCTGGCGGATTTGCTCCTCCAGAACTTCCGGCTCCTCCGTCGGCTCTTGCTCCACACGCTCAAGCTCTTGCTCCAATTTCCCGATTTCCTCCATCAGAAGTCGAATTTTTCTCTCGTTTTCAGGGCACTGGTTCTCGTCCGATGACATGTTGTATTGTTGTGGGCGCTCAACACCAGATATCTAGATCTAAAAAGTTTCAAAAGAGTGCTAGGAACGGAAGTCATAAAATATAGTAATACCAACAGCTTGATTATAGAAAAAGTTTATTTAATAACAATAAATTTTCCTTTGTAGTTATCATCAGTATGCAAAAATATTCATATACATTCTATATTACAAATGATTAATCATAAAAACGGAATGAAGTAAAGACTCGAAAGCGATTCAGCTTCTTCATTATATTTCGAGATTTGGGGTTTGTTGCTTTAAATAACAAATGAGCGAGCAGTAATTTAGTTAATGATAAGCTTTCAAAGCCCACACCATTAACGAAAATAAGTTAAGATAGAAAGTTGGTTTTGTTCAAAGTAATTTGTACATAAGATAGCAGTTTAAAGAGAGCTTCTGTTGCGACTTCATTTTGTGCACAATTTGCAGAGATTCATGCTTAGATTTGAGCACTAACATAATAATTTAAAGATGAGAATAAGGTGAGAAATAAATTCAATAGCAGTAAAGCACGTTAAGCCAGTGGAGGAGTCTTGCCACTGAGAGTGACACTCGTGACATCCTTGACGATCATCTCGGCCACCTGCCAGGCGATCTCCTCCTGCACATTGTCCTCCGGCAGATTCACCAGCTTACGCATTGCATTTTTGATTTTGCTTCCGCTGACACTCAGGGACCATGGTTGCGATTTGAGAGCCACTGCATCCACGGCCTCAAAGTCCCGCTCATAGCGACCCAGGGAGTTGACAAAACCGAACTTAAGCGCACCCACAGGTCGCTGCCAAAGCAGTTGGGGATTGGTCAGCTGCCTGGCGTCGATGTTCAGACTTCCCGGCTGCTGATTGTTCGACGTTTTCGATGGCAGCTGGTCCATGGAAGCCAGCAGTGTGTTGTGCTGCGAGATGTGCGTGCAGTCTGACATGGAAAGTGTTTTGCGATGACGCTGCTGGGTGTTGCAAGTTTTTCCAGTCCTACGCAGGCTCAGCTTTTGCTGGAGATTCGAGTAAGGGGTGGAGTTATCTATAAAAATCAGAGCTTGGTTAATACAGAAACACGAAATAAAACCGAACAACCGACCTCTCTTAACCTTCAATTCATTCACATAGTTATCAAAGATGTGCGACTTTAAGAAGTCGGTAAAGTATTTCTGCTCCAGATATTTGGCAGTTACAATAAGGGCCAAATCGAACGCTTGCCACTGTTCGCCTGGAGCACAGATGGCCTGTTCCACCCTCAAGCGCAGCTTCTGTGACATCCAGAGACGACACTCGGATTGCAGGGAGAAGTATCTGTCGTAGATGATCATGGCATCGCTCTGGGCCGCCTTGCGATCCTCCTCCTTCTCTTCGCCGGAAGCAAAGCTCTTGCGAAAGTTAATGGCCGTGATCCAGAACTCCAGACACTCGCGCTCCTGCCGCTGCTCCAGGTACTCGGTAAAGTAAAACAAAGCCAGTTCGCTGTTCAACACATCGTAGATATTTATGGAGCTGCCTTCAATCAACTCCAAGCAGTAGGTGGAATAGTAGCCGCTTTGCAGAAATCCCTGAACATGGTCTCGCTCCAGTTGCTCCAGCACAAACTCCCTGGCTTCATCGAAGCAGCTGGCAGGTATGGGTTTGCTACTCTCCGACTTGTCCCTCCCGCAAAGGAGCAGCGATATGTGCGCTAGGATGACGATGGGCAGCTCCACTTGCAGACTGGCGTTCACTATCAGATACTTTTGGTAGATGGCTATGGCATCGCTGATGCTGGCCCGGGAAAGTTCCGAGTTTGCCACACATCCTGTGACAGATTTTTGCCTATTGATCTGCTTGTTGGTCTCCGCGTAGATTCGGCTCTTTTCGTCATCCGTCAGCGGCTTGCGCATGGACAGATCGCACAGCGTCTTCAGTTCAGGTACATCGTTGTCTTCTTTGCTGGGAGAAGTTTGTTCCGCCTTCGTCAACGGCTCCTCCTCTGGTTCCTCTTTCTCCTGCGTAAGCGCCGCTCGCTTGAAGTTCTCAATGTCCAGGTAGAATTTTATCAAGGGCAGGGCGTGTCGGGTGTCCAGATATTGTACGAAGAAGCTCAGGCAGTTTGGATCGCTGACAATGGAAGCCAGGTTCATGGAGAGGCGTGAGTTGTAGGTGAAAATGTCTAGAAAAAAAAAATGTATTCATTTTTTTTTTTGGTTCACAGAGCGGTCTTGTTTTTGGATTTTAATTTAACATATTAAAATATAAATTTTAGCAGCATCTATATTTTAGCCAATTAAAACATACGATATCTATTTTTTAATGTCTTTTTAGAGATTTAGCAACTTTAATGGGATTTCCCAACGCGATAAGATGCGATTGAAAGGTGCGAACGTGATGAGCAAGTGAATAATAGGCGGTGAGGTAATTACCATCGTTGCTGGAGAGACTGATACCATCGGAGGGGGCTCCTCCTCCGGGTCCCACGCCACCTCCGCCCTCCTCCTCCGCCTCTAGGAACACCTCGTCGCAGAAACTGGTTGTCGAGCGCAATGAGTGACGTTTGTGCGCCGAGATTCCATCGATGGTGTCCACATCATCAGCTATTTGGGCGCAGTTGGCATCCGTGGCATCTTGGCTGCTGCGACGGCGGCCTAAATAAAAGAAAACAGTTATTGGTGTCAGCAGAAGGGCGACAAAGAAGAAGAGGCCAAGTGGGCGGGGGAGCTGGGTGAAAACAGCAGCGAAGTTAGTTATACTTTTTGCACTTACTGGCTTGCCTCTTGATGTAATTCAACATCTTTACATTCTCCGGCTTTCGGTGGTTCCACAAAACGCTCCTTGTGCTTTACTATTCCGTTTAATAGGGGCAATTGACGAATTAATTTATTTAATGCGATGTGACGGTAAATATTATGAAAATGGCTCAGTGCAGTGTTGCCAGATGGTGATTTTTTCGACCAAATGTCGAGTTCAAACTTAAAAAAATCACTATTCTCATCTCAGCCGGTAATATACCTGGTTTCCACAGTACACCGAACTATAATATTATTTCACCAATGTGGTGGCTGTATCGGCTAAATGAGGAGAACGTATTAAATAGGTTTGGAGGGTGTACACGCTAAGGTAGGTGGGTGTATCGGATTTCTTTGACTTTGGAGCTTACCCACCTCTAGTTCTGCAACAAATCGATTAATGAACACAGCAAATGTCGGACTTTTTCCACCACTATTTAACCGATTATTCTCCGATATTCACGAAACCGAACGCAACGCAACGACGGAAAGCGGACGAACGGAAAACACAGAAAATTTAGCCAACTCGTCTGTGTACACTTATTTATTGTTCGCGCGCGTGTGGTTGTGCCAGTGCGGTGGCAAAATAAAAACAGCTGCAAAATACGCAAATTTCAGTCTTGCTTAAAGCTAGAGTGCGGTATAAAAAGAAAACGAAAACTTCTCGACGCGCTAAAAGTCGCTCTCCCTCTCTTCCCCTCCTCTCTCGTTGTGCGCCCGTGTGTAGTGCTAGTGTGAGTGCGAGTGAGACGGGCAAACAATTTGCCGCTAAATACAAAAAGCAGCTGAGACCAGCTGACACATGTGTGTGTGCAAAATACAATAAAACGCAAAGGCTATACTAAAAGCTATAAATAATTCGCAAATGTTTATGTAGCCGTACAGCAAGAGCAGTAGCGGCAACAACAAAACGCACGTGGCTCAGACATTTTGGCCACCATAGTAAGCAAACACACAAACACGATCAAACATGTCCGCCGTACCGGTTGCCATCAAAACGGAGGAAGTTATTCTAGAGCACGCCGAATACAACAGCGCCGAGGAATTGGATGAGGAATTGCAGTAAGTCTACGTTGATAAATGGACCTCCGAAAAAATGAGAACACAACAAAGCGAGTCAACAGCTTGGCTTGCATTTTTATCACGCAAATTATTGATTATTTTTACTACTTGCTGCTAGTGCGCTCTCCCTGCTCTCTGCCTCTCTTTCTCTCGTTTGCTTTTTGCCGCCGTTTTGCCGACAAAACAAATACGGCACAAAAACACCACCACTAACAAGGCACCTCACATACACTCACACTAGCGTGTGTCGAATTCCATTCCATTTCCACTTCCATGCCGATTTCTTGTTGCTGGAATAAATGTGACGCTTCTTTTTCTCCCATCTTTCGTGTCTCTGCTTTCCTCGCTCTCGCGTTGAGTTGTTGGTTTTTTCACGCTTTGCCTTTCGTCGTCCATATTGTAAAACGGCTGTTTTGTCAATTTGTCAGCAGCGTCGGCAGACGGATAACAGTTCGGGCAATAATATTGGTCCAGCTGTTGAAAAAATACAATTTTTTCTTCAAAATACAAATAATAGAATTTAAAGACTTTCTTTAAACATATTAATTGTTTTTCCGACTATAATTATTTTTTGTGTATTATTAATAAAAGAGTTTAAAATGATTTTGGGCGATTTGTGGTAATATTTTGTTCTATAAATTCTTATTATCTCTATTTATTTTTTAGAAATTAAAAAAATAAATACATTTATTTTATAATGCTTTCATCGTGTAGTATTTATTAAACTGCCTTGGTTGTTTCCTGCATGTTCTCAAATATTTGGTCTAATTGTTACAGCTGCTTTTTGCTATTTTTTGTGCCAGACGATCATGTTGTCTCTCTGCCGCTCCCTCTTTTCTATTCTCCGGCTCTCACGCTCAGCTGCCAAATTGAGCTAGCTCACATGTTCGAATTAACGGAGGTAAAAAAACAGCTGCGCACCCGCACTCCCTTTGTCTTTCTCCCCTTCTCTTTGCTTATCGTGCGTTGCCTAATCAACATTTCTGTTTTTTTTATGTTTTTCGTGTTCATAGTTGAAATGAAATCAGCTGTACCGGTAAATTCATATCATCAGATGGTTTGCGTTGGTTTAATTTACACGCTTCGTTTTTCTCGAAAAGAAAAAGTGTTGCATATAGTTTTTTTTAAATGTGTTTGATAGAAATATGGATGTTATTTTTTTACATGTCTATATTTGATCGAGCTAAATGGGCACAAAGAAGTGTCAAGATATTTGGAAAATGAGTTGGATAAGGGATGTAAAGATTTTCCATGTTTTTGTAGCGAAAGTTTCTTTTTCCTTTGCCGGCTTATCAGAATCATATGGTTGTGCTTTTCGCTTCTTCACACGTCACAAGCGGCGCCGTTTCTTATCGCTCGAGCATATGTTTTTGCACAACCACAAAGAGAATCCGCAATATATACGAGTGCACATATACTAATCCCTTTCAGCTGGCATTTCAAGGCTTTTATTCGTGTTTTTGCTTATATACTGAGTAAAGAAATATAATTTAAGCTCTGACCAAGACCATATGGTTTTCACTGCTGCTGCTATTTATATGTTAAGATTCTTACTTATTTAATTAACCTAAATGCTGTATTTTAGCCGCAAAATATTTGGACACCCTATTGCCAATTAGACCCTAAATTAAGCTGCGAACTTAATTTGTTATTAAACATCACAAAATCAAATTCTACTACATTTCCTAGAGCTAAGACACGTCGCCGTTGACAGCTGTTAAAAAAGCCCCAAAACTGTAGGTGGCACTGTTATTTCAGACACTAGTGTGGGCGGTATAACAACTGCGTGTTAGCAGCTGCTGTTCGCTTTTTGTTGGTGCTAAAATAAAAGAGCGTGCCTTGGCTAAAAGTCTCCACTCAGCTCCCTCTTCCCATTCCACACGTTGCACATTTGCGAATACTACGAGAGCCATGTGTTGCGGCTGCCGTTGTTGTTGTGTGGCGTCATTTCCGTTTTTACCCCACTCGACTGGAAAAGAGGAGCAATTCGAGGGACAGAGAGATAGCATGCACAACTCTTTCTCCGTCCGTCTCGCTCTCACTGCAGTTTTATAAGAGCCGCTCCCCAGTGGATCCAAGTACATAGGCGAGAGAGAAAGAGAGCACCCCAATTGAGTTGCACTCAAAAGCTTTCTGAGCGTGAAAGAGTGAGAGCGCAAAAGTACAGATGCCGCCACACACATTTTTACTACCACACACGTTTCATTGAAAAAACATATACACAAAAGCTAAAGCTAAAAACCCGCTGCAAATTTGCGAAAAAAAACGTGAAATGAAATGAAAACTAATACCAACACATGGCTTCAAATCTGCTGCGCAAATTTTTGGGCGATGGCTCCGTGTGTTTCGTTTCGTATGCCAAAACGTTTCATTTGGTTTTCGTTTCGTTTCCATAGCGCTTTTTCGGATTTTTTTTTAACATGCCGCATTTATTGGCAACCTGCGAGCGAAAGAGAGGAAGTTATAGGGTGTGGGTATGAGAGAGACGGAGCACTACGGCTTGTTTATGAAAAACACATGATTTTTGTGTACAACAGTTTTTAGGGCATAGCAAAAGAGAGGAAAAGGAATAGGGGACCAAACTACTACAACAACACTATGGTATATTGTGATATTCGCAAAATTAAATTTTGTTCAATTATAAGTTAGGAATTGCACAGTGAGGATTTTTAAAATTTTTGCGAAATTGAATTTGATTCCTTCCACTAATTGAGCTAAAGTAAAGATTTCTGGTGTTTATTCCCTGATCCTATGTTTTGATTTTATATTTCCCAGACTTCTCAAATTGCTGTCTCCAGAAGTCTAAGAACAACAACACTTGTATAGGCTGATACAATTTCTATACAATTCTTAAGAAAGCAAACAGCTGGGATAGAATTTCTTTTACGCTTTAAGCTCTTGATTTCCCCGTATTTAGCTTATATCATTTTTATTTGCTTATTTATTTACGTTTGTTTATATTTTTATTGCCAATGTGGCGCCAACTGGCAGACGTAACTGTAAAATGAGAGATGAGCAGGGGAAATGCGAATTCTAATTTGTTCATTGGTTTATGCGCATTAACATTGTTGCACAAATTACGCAAGTGGCGCGAACCTTATTGCGTTGCATTTCAGTTTTGCCTCGCATTCACAGTCTGTGTCGTAAGTTTGCTACCGGATTTTCCGAGACGATAAGTTTACAATCGAGATTTTCTCTAGATTTGTCAAATCGCTGGATTCGAAAATCCTTGTCATAATGTAAAGCTTTCATCGGTTATTCTTATATTGCATGATGATATTTCATGCTCTTAATCTTTTTTAATTTCTTTGTACGATTTTCTGAACTTGCGAAGCATGTTGCAACATAAAGAAAGACTCTAATATGGTTGACAATCATAAGAAGGCGGTGTCTTCTGTGTACATGTTTTGTGGGTTATATAATTGCATGTTTTTCTTTATGAATTAAATATGCCGACACTGAGGGGGAGTTTCCCCTCTCTTCCACTTTCTTCGACTCCCTTGGCCCCTTCCCCGCTGCCCCTTTACCTTTATCTTTACCTGCTGCTGCAGCAATACGACGAAATTCCAGTGAAATGATGACGTAAGCAGTGACCCAATAAACGTATGTACAATTTATGTGCAAAGTGCAACAACAGCAACTGCAGAGGTGGTGGAAGGGTGGGGGGAGGAGTGGGTGGTTAGGAGGCAGCACTCGTGACTTCGGCTTTTGTCTCTCTGTCTGTTTATCGTTCGTATCTCTGTGTTTTTCTCTCTATGTACTTGCTGGCGAAAAGTGGCCAATGAACTACATTGAACCCTGGCTAAAAAGCAGCGCTGCAGCAGTGCGGTCAGCTGTCGTCGGTCATATGTTGTTATTATTATTATATTTATGCATTTATTTGCACCTCAGAAAATGCGTAATTTAAGTGGAAACTACATCGATCTACGCAGCTGCGTCTTTAACTGAACGGAGTCGGGGAACAGGAAAGAGTTCTAAAATAGATTTTGATCATGCAACTAGGAAACCCAGTTTTTGAATTTTCTAAAAGTTTTCGCAGTCGTACTAATAGATTTATTGAAAATGGCTTCATGATCTACTAGGGATCTTTGGAAAAAATGTCTAACCTTACTGTCTACTTATTTTTTTCTGCAAACATCTTCATGCACAGTTTTCCATTGCACTGCCGCCTTTTTTCACTTTAAAAGATGTGCTATGCTGGAATAATTATGCTGCCCCCATAAAGTGGCCAAATATATGTACATATGCGCAACGGCCATCAAAAACAACAACAGATGTTGCCACCACATGCAGCATGCAACAACATTCTCCGCGCGGTTTTCATTCAACTTTTTTCGGTTTTTGTTGTGCAAACAAAAACAAACGAGATGCCAAAATGCAGGCAAGTGCCCAGATCCGAGATCCGAGCCACATTCCTTTGGCCTTTTGCAGCAGCTTTGCAGTCTTTACAGACTTTCTGCTTTTCTGGCTGCCACAACATCCGCCTTCTGCTGCTGTTGACCAACTTTGGTGGCATCTCCCCTCTCCATGCCGTCTCTTTTGCGCACTTGCCGCAGAAATGCTGCCGGAGAAGAACGACCTTTGGATGATGTTGCTAAAAATAACCCAAGCTAGCGAGACGACGTCTCTAATACAGTCCAACTTCAATAGATAGAAACTATAAATTTCCTTCTAAGACCGGTTTTGTTAAATAAAATCAAAACTTTTATTTAAAAATCTAATTTTTTAAGTTTAAAAACATTTAATCAAATGTTTATGCTTGATATTTTCCTAACTCTTAAAACTAGTAAAGATATTGATTGAAACATTTTTTTTGAATATCACCTTTGACAGTTTAAGTTAGAGAGTCGAGACTGTATTTTCTAGCATCGTCTTTGAGAGAGTTATTCTTGTTGTTGTTCGCCTGGAATGTGGTGTTGCAACTTTTACACCCCCCACCCCCTTCACTACCTGTGTTTTTGTTGTTCTTTCTCGGTGAGCATACCATTGTGAAAATGGTTTTCATTAGCCTGCAGCAACAGCAAAACTGTGGCCTGTGGAAAACGTGTTTGCTCTTTTTCGTAGGGTAAAACCGGTTCAGAATTCTTGGGACCTCGCGTCTTCGAGACTAAGTATAATATGCTGCAGCATAGCTCTAAGCCTCAAGACAAGAAGAGCTGCGAAATAATACGAACCGGAGGCCAAAAGCAAACCGAAACGAACCAAATCGAACCAACAAAACAGAAAATAGAAAACAACAATCACGACCGGTGAGATGGTGGCAACAATAACAAAAAGAGGAATGCCCATACTATTGACAGCTGTGCTTAGCCACCTCTCTCTTTCTCTCCCTCTCTCTGTATTGGTCTTTTACATGCAGTAGTTGATACCCTATAAAAGTGTGTATAGGTTTGCTCGTCTTTTTGGCAAGTCATTGGTGTAAAATTTCGTAGAAATACTAAAAAAAATTTTTTTGTTTTTAAGAGTTTATCTATGTATAATACTGGTATAGATGTAATTGATATGAGCTAAAAAATTTATTAAAAATGTAAATTTTAGAATTAGTATTAAAAGATATTTGTCAGTGGGTTAATTCACTCTGGCGTTGGGATAGGTTAGGGTATTCATAACCCAACTTCTGCTTTAGTCCAATGCTGATGCTTACGTGACAACAACAGAGAAGTGACTGTGTGTGTGTGTATTTGTTGGCTCTCTGTTGTTGATGTTATTGTTGTGCAGCGACGGCGGGTTAAACTAAAATTGAATTGAATGGAATTGTAAATTTATGAATGAATGAATTTTTCAGCGCTTTGGTGAGCGGGCAAGAGTGTTTGTGTCGGTGTTGCGTGTTAGTGGATTTGTAAAAATGTAAAAGTTAATTGGTTTTACGTATAGCCCGGCGATAATCCTAAGCCATAAATTACACAGTAGATACTTCTAAAAATAATCTATGAAAACGGACTGTTAAAATGATCTTTAACCGACAGTTTCTTTAAAAATATATGTGTTAAGTTACGTTTTTATGAGGATTTTAAATTTAAGTACAGTTTTTTTTTTTTATGCATCTGTTAATAAATAATAGTACACATTTTTTAAATACTAGATACCAAGGGTAACTAGACTTTAAATTCTCTAGACATTTCCATGTGGTTCATAACTTGTATTTATTTTATAATACATAAAAAAGTAAAACATTTAAATGAGTCATCTATACAAAATTTTTTACCCAAGGAGGATATGACTCTTGGCCAATATTTGTAGGAGAATCTCTGTGACTCATTCTTAACCTATTTCATCATCTTGCAGATTACAATTGGAAGATTCAGGGGGTGAGAACAACTATCACATCGAGTACGCCAGCGAGTCGGCCCATCAGGGTTCTCAGCGTCGCCAGTCGAGCATGAGCGGTACGAATACCTCCAAGGGCGGGCGGCGGGGGGGCGGGGCCCTGAGCGATGGAGACGGTTCGGGAAAACCGCTCGTAGACAGCGAGAAGCGAATGCGCCGGGAAATCGCCAACAGCAACGAGCGGAGACGCATGCAGAGCATCAATGCCGGCTTCCAGAGTCTGCGATCACTGCTCCCGAGGCACGAGGGCGAAAAGTTGAGCAAGGTAAGTTACTAACTTATTTAACCATTCAGGTTTGACAAGCATTGGGCGGGTTTAGCTTTCGTGCTAACTTTTCTTTGCACTCCTTTTGTAAAACTTTTAGAGGAACTTGCAATTACAACCGTAATCAGCTGCTAGACTATCTTGCTGAATATATTAAAAAAAGGTTTTAAATCGTAAAATGATAAAATTACAAATTCGTTATTAGTGGGGTTTTTTTTACAAACATTTTAATCCAAGTGTCTGGAGCTTAAGTGGAGGAAGTTATTATCCATGGTCAGTTCTCGATCTGTTGAATTGTTTATCTCGATTTTTAAGGGCAATCATCATCAATAACACCATTTTTGGGCAAGGGATCTTTTGGCCTGCTGCATCTTAAGCGCACTTCTTTTTTTTATTTGGTTATTTTGCGTAGCCCGTGGCACGCAACTCCAATTACATTGAACCAGAGTCCGAACCCGAGTCTTTACGGTCTGCACCTCAATTACAGGGCCGTCCACAAGCACATGTTGACAAATTGCCGACGACTCCTGGCAAAAGGGCGCAAAAAAAAAAAAAAACACACACGCCAACTTGGCTAAAAGCTTCCAGCTGAGGAATAAAACGTGAATGGAAATGGGTTTAGAGGGGACTGAAGCTTTGAAGGTCCCTTTTCGACATTTAGTAGTCAGGGCAACCGTGTTGGCGTCGTCGTCGTCTCAATTGTTTGTTGTTGGAGGCGTTTCGCTTTTTCATTTTACCCCGCCGCATATATATTTTGTTCAGTTTTTTTTTTTAGCATACACATGTTCTCATATTTATGGGATTTTCACCTTGAGACGACATCGATTTGTTGTGACGCGTGTGTTGCAAAAGGCCGGTGGAACGAACGGCCTTGTTGAAGGGGGAGGATATTAAATACACTTTGAGCAGGACACATAAGTGCTTTCTAGATTGGTTCTTAAAGATGCCTACCTCTCATTTAAGACCGTTTAAGTACACAGACGGCCGTAAATCAACGAAATGGCCAGAGTAGAAAAACAGCAAGACAGTTATATCTTTTTTAAATTATGTGTCTGCGGCTAGAAAAAAGAAATGACAGATACAAATAAATTTGAAGCTAACAAATGAAATGTGCACAATGAAGTGCATGAAAAATTTTAAATTAAGTCTTATTTGTAGCTGCAGATTTTTAGATAAATAAAAATAAATAAACCTTGTGCTGAAAAATAGCATTGAAATTTATGTTACACCTGTAATTCTTATGCTGTAAGGGACAATTTGTATGTTGCATGCATTTCCATTTCTGAAACCCAACCAAGTTTCCAACACTCAAAACTTCTATACTAATAATCGTAAGCTTGGCAACACTGATCATTTAGAAGTTTCCCTCTTTTCAAAGATTACTTTTACAGCCGTCTTATTTATTGCAAATTGAAAAGTGTCAACTGAAACTGCCAGGCCTCATAAATCAGTCCTTGCCCCAAAAAAGGCGATAACAGCCAAACAAAAGGGAAACAATGTAATAAGATGCAACATAAACAAGGCAAGAAAATACTGCAAACAGGAAGAAAAGCGCGTAAATATTAAAAACACTCCACAGGAAAAAATGGAAAGGGTGTATACGTCGACGACGCCTGATGAATGACATAATGGGCGTAGACAGAGAAGGATACGCAGAAAAAGAGAGAAAGAGAAGGCGTGAAAAGGGGGCGGTGGGCGGACTAGTGCAAGTAGTTTATGGATTTTTGTGCCATGCACTTCAACGTCGACGATTACAAACGATACCACCACGCCTGTCACACATAGTAAACATTGTAGTAAATACGTGAGCAAAGAGAAGGGTTATAGTCAGAGAAAGAGAAGGAACCAGGATTATAGAGAGAAATAGAGGGAGAGAGAGGGAGAAAGAACGTGCGAAAGGAGAACCTCCGACAGCTTGACCAAGTTTACACCCGCTATATAATCATTTAAGCCCTAAACACTACAACGTTCCAGTTACATTTAAACACAACATAAAAAAAGTTATTTTGAAATAATTATCTGCTCTAAAATATATTTCAGAATATTTAGTTTCTTTTGCTTAAATCGCTAGTTGGTTTCATAAAGTTTCTTTAGTTTTTAAAGTTATTTCGCAAAGTTTATTTCGAATTTTTTTTGTTTATAAAGTTATTTCACTTCTGGTTCGGTTTGCGAGTCTCATAAGTTCTGTGAACTAATTTAATTTATATTGTTTTGCTTAAATGTTTATAACTGTTTTGGAAAATATAAATTAATAACAGTTATGTGGTTCAGTAGAAACTTAAAGGCATACACAGATGTATAATATTCTGAAGGTTTATACCCGTCCGATTTAGCAAGTTTTTGGCACCTAAAACATTAAGAAAGCAGATCTTACGCACACACAGTATGCATAAACATTAGCAACATGCAAATTCAACACAGACATAAATAGACTCCAAACGCAGACTGGCAAAAGTGCGAAATAAAATTGCAATGCAGACTAAGGCTGGTTGACAAAAAGCTGCGATGACTTAAACCATTCACAGTTAGGCACACGCACATAACGGTGCATGGCAGAAACACAGATACTTTCACACACATACGCACATACACAGCCACGCCCTAAGGTGGGTGCCATAAAGGAGGCAGAGGGATGGAAATGTGAGTGCAATTCTGTGATTTACTCGCTGCTCTCCTCTCTCTCTTGCACTCGGTACACCCCCGCACTCTTGCGTCCACAGTTTGGCGGGTCATTGAACTTGCTCGCTAGGTGGCGCTAAAGTGCAAATGTGCAATTGCGTACAGTTGCCCCCATTGTTGTTTTTGTGACTATTCGTATTTGCACTGAACAAAAAAAAGAATATTTTCTAAAACAGAAATTAAACCAAAAAAAAAAATTAAATAAATAAAATAAAACCTGTTTCTGCATAAATTTCAAAAACATTATTAATCAACCTTTTGAAGATAAATTATTAAAATTGCTTGTTTATTTATTTGACATTGATAAATATTAAGTAAGCATAGTACTCGCAATATTTCGCACCGTGTGAAGATTTAGGCGCGCCCCAGCTGAACTAACCTACATTACAGTGGGTGGGGGTGTTCACTGTGCACTGTACACACCTTGCCCAGACAGTGAACAGAGAGAAAACTGGAAAATTTTCTATATACAATACAATATCGATTCCTTTCCAGTGGCGAAACGAAGAAAAGCGCGCGCCAAACGCGCAAAGTTACCCCCGAAAAAAGATGGGATACCCAGTGGGCTCGGGAGTGGAGATATGCGATGTAACATTGGATGGGATAGGACAATGGCGCCAACATTTTGTTCGCCTTCTGCTGATGGGAGCCCACACCACTTGCTCAGCTGTGGAAAGTTCTCTGTGTTAGTGCGTGTGGGGGTGGATTCAGTTTTCCGGGAGGCTTACGTTTCCCGAGTGTTTCATTGCCATTTCATTTCCAGCGTTTTGGCGTCTGTCTGGCGCCTGGTAGGCAGCTGTTTCACAGCCGATGACGATTCCGAGTGGAACGATGGATGGTCTGCCCCCCAGTCCTTTCCACAAAGTCTCCATGAAAAACCCCCCAGATATATGAAAATGGGCATTCAGCCTGGCAGCTGCGCACTACGATTGTTGGCCCGGCAAAATCCGTTTTTCTTTTTCCCTGCTAGCCTTTGTATTTTCTGGACACCGGGGCGTGGCACCGGGGAGGGCGGTGGGTGGAGGTCGTTGGGTGGTGGGTGGTGGTGCAGTGCACTAGGCCATTGGCATCTCGCAACCTTTCGCAGATAGAAGCAAAAAGCGGGATTGCAGCTGGAGGTTTTGATTGCGACGACAACTTCTGGGCCATGCCAACACCCAGTTTGGGAAAAGTACATAAAATCCAGTATATAAACAGAGCACATGTATGTACTATATAGAGAGTTATGTAAGGCCACATTTATATATAGGTATAGCTCACTGTGTGTAGCCTGTACTTTCAATTGCATTTCGTAGTAAAAATGTTTGCACTACTACTCTACACACAAATGCAGAAGGAAAAACAGGTGTAGTACTCACATTTGGAGCAGCAGCCACAAAATGCAATTAATGGAGCAACGCTCTTTGTAATTTAAAATATTCGTATGCTTCAGTAGCTAAAATTAATTAATTTAGGTATACCTGGTGGTATCTGAAGGGTCGTTAAATCAGAAGAATTATATCCGGGTAATTAAAGTTGTTTGGATTTTAACAATATCTATACTAATATTATAAAGAGGTAAAATTTGTTTGTTTGTTTGTTTGTTTGTTTGCAGGGAATAGGCTCCGGAACTACTGGTCCGATTTAAAAAATTCTTTCGCCGATAGAAAGCTATATTATCGTGGAGTTAAATAGGCTATAATTTATTTTGAAAAAATTAGGGATCCGTAAGAAAATTGCAATATTGTCGCATATAAAGTGAGTTGCTACCTCATCACACTGACAAACACGCTCCCATAGCATTTTAACTCAATTTTTGTGTTCACTGTGAAATTGTGAAAAAAAAGAATTTTTATTCAATTTAAGTTGAACTGTGAAAATTATGTGGATCGTGCATTTGAGGATAAATTCACCACTCTGTCCATAGTCAAAAATGCTTAGAGGACGACGTGCAAACATTGGCCGCAGACATTCAAGCCAGCAGCCAGTATATTCACAAAACTTAAGCGAAGAAAGACAAATGAGCACATGGAGATCATTGGCATCATTCAATCGCTTGGCATTCCAATATGATCCCACTACGAACTACAGTGATAATGAAAATTTAGATATTGGACCAATGGCGACTATATACCGATATTGCAGAAACGGCTGGATTGTGCTGCGCAAGTGGAAAAGTCAAACTGGAAAAGTGTTAAATCACCATCTTTCTATACTTCCATATATTTGAAAAATGTTGCAACATGGATTATTATGTTGTTAAATTGTGTTGACCAGCGAAGCGGACACAGGACGTCTAGTATAAAATAAATTAATTTCAAATCTTAAAATCATGCAAAATT